AGACCCCGTGAGGAGCCTCGCTGCAGCATTCTGCACCTGCTTGAGTTTCTGGGACAGCTTCAAGAGCAGCCCCGCATAGAGCGAATACAGTAGTCAAGCCTGGAGGTGACCGTTGCATGGATCACTGTGGCCCGGACAGGGCAGGAAAGGTAAGGGACCAACTGCTTGATGTGGCGAAGGAGGAAAAATGTCACCTTGGCTGTTGCTGTAACCTGCGCCTCCATGGAAAGGGAAGCGTCAAGGATTACACCCAAACTCTTAACAGAAGGCAATGGCACTAATTGGGCCCCCGCAAGAGAAGGGAGTTGGTCCCTCATCCCCATGCCATCCCGACCTAGCCATAGGACCTCTGTCTTCGAAGGGATTTAGTTTCAATCGGCTCCCACGAAACCATCCAGCCACAGCTTCCAAGCATCTGGTCAGTGTGTCCGGGGCCGAGTCGGTGTGGCCATCCATCAGCAGATAGAGCTAAGTGTCATCAGCATATTGGTGACAGGCCCAGCCCAAAGCTCCGGATAATCTGGGCAAGGGGTGCATAAAGATGTTAAGAAGCATTGGGAGAGGATTGTGCCCTGCTGCATTCCACACACCAAGGAGTGGCGTGACGACATCTCCCTCCCTAGCGCCACCCTCTGTCCCCGACCAGAGATAAAAGAGCACAGCCATTTACGGGCTATGCCCTGTATCCCCATGTCAGCAAGGCAGAAGATCATGATCTACCATGTCAAAGGCTGCTGACAAATCTGAAAAGAATCAGCAGTCCTGACCCGCCTCGATCCAATTGTCTACGGAGATCATCTGTTAGGGCAACCAGAGCCGTCTCGGTCCCCGAAACCAGGACGGAACCCGGACTGAAATGGATCTAAAGCCAATGTTTCCTCCAGAAACCTACCCAAGCTGTTCAGCAACCACTCTCAAGAAGCCCAAGACAGCGGCAATAAAATGGAGCCTGATCTGACCATGGCACTACTTAGGGTCGGATCACCCACGTCCATAAAGGTGAACACCAGGTCTAAGGCATGTCCGTGGCTATGAGTTGGGCCAAACTTATTCAGGGACAGCCCCATGGAGGCCATGCTTTCTCTGAAGCCCTGAGCGTCCCCTTGTAAGAGATACATGTTTTTATTGTCAAATCAGGCAAAGGTGGGTTATTCCCCGGCCCTGTTACTTTAGAATTGCAAATTTCATTGCCACGCACTGCCAATTCCTGGTGAGGCAAAAGAAGAACTCTTTTCCTTTTCCTTCTGGTGTGGTGTTCTGTACATAGTGAAACCAATGTCCCCACTGTGGAAGGATGTGTGGATCCAGAATTGGCCTCCACAGTCACTTACGGACTCATTGTTAAAATTGTGTTTATGGAAGACAATCTTACTCAGCTACGAGTGATCACCAAAGAAGAAGAAGACATAGTATGCTTAGTCTTAAGGTTTAGACTTAACTTGTTGTAAGTTATTGTAAGTTTAAGTTAAGTCTGCTGCAACTGGATTTCTTATGGACAGTGCCAATCCTGAATGTATTAGATTTGTGACCGTTAGGATCATTTGCCTTCAGTAGCAGTAAAGCTCTGCTGGATGAAATATAATTGTCTCTGGTCTGTTTTTCGGGACTCCTGCAATGTGTTTAAGTTTTCACTCTGCTAACTATACATTGCAGTTCTGCTCTGGATCAATATTGAGTAGAATTACATGACACTTGCAACCCACAAAGCACCAGGCAGGAGTTATTTAAAACTATGGGATTCACCTCACAAATCCTGTCTGCAGAACCCCTGTCAATGGCATCCCTTTGCAAGGGGTCTCCTTCCCCCATGCCCCTCAAATTACCTGGGGTGGGTGGGATAACCCCAGAACAGCACAGGGAGAGGAGAATAATAATAATAATAATAATAATAATAAGAAGAAGAAGAAGAAGAAGAAGAAGAAGAAGAAGAAGAAGAAGAAGAAGTAGTAGAAGTAGAAGTCACTGATGCCCTGCCCAGGCAGCTTAAGGCCAATCGGCAGACCAAAGATGTATGCAAACATGACTTGAAGGCTGGCAACATAAACCCTTGCAGACGACCGCAGTGCCCAGAGACACAGTCAGGTTGTGCATCTACAGCAGTGACCAGAGGAGGAGCGCAGAGAGAAGAAATGCCATGGTGCATTTGCAGAAGCACAACTGGACGTCTTCACCTGCCCCAGATGCAACAAAACATGTCCTCCCACGTCAGTCTCTACAGCCACAGCAGGAGCTGCAACCATCCAACAGCTTGACCTCACCTCCAAAGGTGCAGTCCTCCATTGTCTCCCAAGACAAATGGATGTCAACCAGTTATATCTTGCCCATCTGACTGGGTTGTCCAAGCCCCTCTAATACGCTTGCACAGACAAGAACATTCAAACCAGCACATTTATTCAACCCAAAGTCCCTTTGTTAGACATGCCTACGTCAAACACCATGCTCTCTGGGTCTCTTCTCCTCTGTCCAAAGGCTGTGAAGTATTGTGCAGACTCGAACTGCCAACCTTTCGATTGGCAAGCCAACAAGGCTCAGTGGTTTAGACTACAGTGCCACCTGCTCCCTTCCAAACAAGAACAAGGAACGGCCCAGATGGGACTCGAACCCAGAGTCTCCAGCTCCGGAGGTTGATGCCTTATCCATTAGGCCACTGGGTCACACAGTGGCGTAGCGTGGGTTGTCAGCACCCGGGGCAAGGCAAATAATTTGCGCCCCCTAACCCGTGGATTTGCGCCCCCTAACTCGTGGATTTGCACCCCCTAACCCTAACCCCCAGATGTTGCGCCCGGTGCTGCCGGCCCCCCCTGCACCCCCCACGCTACGCCACTGGGGTCACATCATATATGGTGATCCCATCCCTGAATAAATTATCCTTAACTAAACTTAAAAAGGTTCCGAATCCATTTTTGAGAGCAACGTCGTTGTACTTATTCCACCAACGTTCTGAGATCTTAAGCAAAGCACCAGTAGTGGAGAAAGCCTCTCCGGCACCTGTTGTGGGGTGCTGAGGGGCGGGGCAAACCACCTATAGGGGCGGGGCAAACCACCCGGCAGCGCCCGCATGACTGCACATGTGGTGCCCATACAGACAGCCGTCCTACAGCTGGGGGGGGAGGCAGCGGGCCATTTTGTCACCCCCCCCAGGGTGGCACCCGAGGCGGCCCGCACCCTGCTTTGTATGCCCTTGCAAAGCGCAGCAGTACAGAGGATGGGAGGCAAATTTGCTTTATTGGACAAATGACCTGCTTGTGGCTGGTTGGCCCCTAGATGGCGGTCATGTAACTAACCTACTGAAAAACGTGACATAATTGGCTGCAAATAATTGAGATGCAGACTTCTTGCAAAGCTCTAAAAAGAAGGGTCTATATGCAGGGATCTGACTTTCAAACGCTGCTGCAACAGTGATTGCCCCAAATTGAAGGATGTTGTAACAATTCTGCATTAAGCCCTTTTATCCCAAATCTCTGAACCACTGGTAAATTTCTGAGCGGTATTGTAAGGGGATCTAGGATGAAACAGTGGGACAGAGAGAGAGAGAAAGGATGCTGAAACTGGGATACCATTGGAGTATTACCCCAGTGAAGTTATGTCATGTGAATCCAACTCAGAGTGTATGCTCCGATGGGAAGGGTGTAACCAGATTGGCACAATGTTTTTTTTAAATAATAATGTATTTAATAATAATAATACGTGATCTTGTTCTGTGGTGCAGACACAGGAGGTTTCAAGCATTGTTAACCAGACAGCTTGTTACGCAGAGACTTAATCTTGTATCTGACAACCGCTGCCTGGCTAGAAAGAGCTCCTCATTGTGTGCATCGCCATCCATGCAGTTCCCATTGCAGGGACAGGGGTGCAAAGTTTGGTCTCTTACCTTAGCTGACAAGCAAAAACTTAAGGTAAAGAGGGGCAAAAGCAGGTGGAACAGGTTTGCAGGTACCCCTGTGGAACCTTCTTCTCTTATGTGGCCAGTTAGAGAGGTATAATACAATAGCCACTTCCTCAGAAAAATGTTTTGGTTACATTACTGAGACGTCTCCCTGGCTAAGCAGCCCCTGGTGGGCATTGCTAAGAGGATGAATTCAAGGTGCTTGTGCATTTTCTTTTCCAACATGTCAAACTCTAGTGTTAAAGTTCTTTTGTTTATTTATTGAATGATGTTATGCAAATAGATAGATAGATACACAGTATATAATATATATGACTGTTAGCCCTGGGCTTTGGCTTTCTGGGCCATGTGGCCAGCCTGACTAAACTGCTTCTAGCGCAATGGAAGACCGTGACGGAAACCAGAGTGCACGGAAAAGCTGTTAACCTTCCTGCCACAGCGGTACCTACTTATCTACTTCTATGCAAATTAGGTTATTTGCACAGGATAATGTACATAGAAAAATGTTCTGATGCCCTAGACAGTGAGCTAATTTAGCATGTTTACAGTCGTACCTTGGAAGTCAAACAGAATCCGTTCCGGAAATCCGTTCGACTTCCAAAACGTTTGGAAACCAAGGCTCAGCCTCCGATTGGCTGCAGGAACCTCCTGCAGCCAATTGGAAGCCACAGAATCCATGTTGGACATTCAGGTTCCAAAAGAACATTCGCAAACCGGAACACTCACTTCTGGGTTTGTGGCATTTGGGAGCCAAAAGTTCGAATTGCAAGGCGCTCGACTTTCGAGGTATGACTGTCTTTTACTTACATTTTACTAATATGCAAAAACTTTGAAACCAGTGAAGATATGACACGGGAAATTCTCCAGACCACACCATGGCATACAATAGGACGCCTCTATCCCGCTCTGCCCTGCCCTGCCCATTTTCAGCGCGGCTTCAGTGCAGAAGGCAGTCCTCAAGTGTGTACTCGCCACATCCAGTGCTGCACTAGAAAAACAAATGAACACTACAAGATAGCAGAGTGTGACAGAGATATGGGGCTTGGGCTGAAGGGGGTCACAGAGTTCAGGAGATTGTTTCAGGAATTAAAAAATAAAAATACTTGGACATTCAATTTACAAAGTTATATATATGTCTGCATATCTAAGGAGTCCCCTGAGCGTTCAGAAGCTACCACCTAATTTTATTAGAGGGGATGATGATTACTTGGGATAGCAGCTCTTCCTCATGCAGCCTTTGTGGTTCAGGGAAATAAAAAGAGTCTATCATACTAGCATATGAAGGTTGGTGGCTGGCTTTCACAGGTTAGAACAAAATGGCTTCTTTTTCACAAATCCACCTAAATTCAGCGGTGCACATTTCAGAGCGAACTTGACCGGATTTCACAACTCCACAACCAGCTCCAGTTCCTGGAAGAGGCAGTGGGAACCTGTGGAAACAGAGAAAACCTCCGGTCAGTAATTTCACAATGCATGAAGCACCGTGCAGAATTAGACCAAAGGTATATCTTGTCCAGCAGCAGGGACCAGCCATTTGTCTGGAACTTGAGCTGCCTGACAGACTCTAGCAGGTGTCAAACAACTGATGCCATTATGTCAGATGGTTGACAGGTACATTGTCCTGTCCACCTATGGAAGTTGGACCACAAGGTGATAAGAGCAGAATCTGGCCCACTGGACCAAGAAAGGTTCCCCTGATCTAGTCCATCCAGCCTAGTGTCTCTGAGAAGCTCCTGAGGATTTTCCTTCTCCTGCTCCCCAAATCTGATATTCTGAGGGATTATTGCATCTAAAACACAGCAGTCTGAATTACAACTAATCACTGCCTGCAGTCTATCCTCCAATCATTTATTTAATCCTGTTTCTCCAAGACATATAATCTCCAAATTGGGAAGTTCAGATTAGCTATAGCCATGGATAACAGTAATCAACTGTGAAAGCTAACCTGAACTTCCCAGTGTTTGCAAATTTTAACCCCACAAACATCTAATCTCCTAATTGAGGGACTAAGATGACAGAAGAGTGGCCATAGTAATTTTAGAGCAAAATCACAATGTGCCCTTGGAAGAAGTCTCACTTGCTCAAGCCTGGTTGTCTGAATGTACCTCGTGAGGGAGGCCTGGCTTGCAATTTGAGGACCTTGTACTGTGCTTGTTGTGTGACAATGCGCTGAGCTGCGATAGGCTCATGTTCCCAATATCTCACAGTCCATGTCCACATTCCTCCCCCTACCATGGTAGGGTGGTGTTAAAGAAACTTGTGAAGCGTGAGCTACTTTTCTTTAGGAAAAAGTTAATCTTGCTACGATCTGAGAAAAGGTGGAAGAACTGCAAGGGAAATACTGTGGGTGTCCCATAAAAGGAGAGCAAATAAAGCATGGCAATTCCACACTAAACACCAAGTTTGAAGCTATTGAAATTTGGTGTGTGGAGTGCGGCTTGTGAATTTGGTTAGAGTAGGCATTACTTGTTGCACTCTCTCTCTCTCTCTCTCTCTCTCTCTCTCACACACACACACACACACACACACACACACAGACACACACAGATCTGTAGAGGAGAAAATAATAAAGTTACTTATTATAGGAGGTACATAAAACTTGGAAAGGAAAAATACTAGTTCCAAGCTAACAATGTAGAGAAGACAAAGGCACTAATATGGAAATGAGGCATCTGCAATTCAGAGAAAGCTATTACTGTACAGGAAAGTTGGTGTTTGTACAAATGTAGGAAAACACTTACAGGGCTTGATTTAAGGCTGAGCCTTCCACCCAGGTCCAGGTGTTGCGCAGATGTGTAACATTAAGTCCAACCCAGACAGGATATTTCTCTTGAGTGAAGTCCTGTATGAATTCCTGTCAATAACACGAGGGAAATTGTAATTCTGCTAGTGTTCTTGTTTCTTTGTCGAAAACTGTTGGGCAGGGATGCTTCAGTTTCAGTTTCTAATTTTTCCAACCTTCAACTCAGTTCTCTACATTTCCACACCAGTGTTTTGGGTGTGTGAATTTCTTCTAATATACCTATTTTAGAAGCAGCTTTGCCTAATGCATACATTTTTTTAATTATTTTTTTTTGCAAAGGAAGCTTCCCTAATACAGTGCATTTTTTAATTTTTATTAATGCATGTATTTTTATGCATGGTTCATAATGCACGCTTCATAACTCCAGTATGTGCATTTTTGCACACAGCACATGACCGAAGATCTGCATTGCAAAATCCAGAGTCACATTGTTTTTCCTACCATTTCTGCCCAATCCCGGACCACGAGCATTTGAGATCTCTTCCTGGAACAGTCGTTGTAGCCCCCAAGCCATTGCCATTTCTCTTTAGAAAGCCAGTAGCACTTCCCCTCCCGTGCAACCCAGTTGTTTGGACAGAGCTTACACCTGGCACTTTCTATAAGGAGGAAAAAAGAGAAAGAAAAGGCATTTGGTTATTTTAGTCTAGTCTTCATTTCAGTTCTTTACATACAGTGGTACCATGGTTCTCAAATCTGTTCCGGAAGTCTGCTCCAAAACCAAAGCGTTCCAAAACCAAGGTGCGCTTCCCCATAGAAAGTAATGCAAAATGGATTAATCTGTTCAAGACTTTTAAAAAACAATCCCTAAAACAGCAATTTAACATGAATTTTACTATCTAACGAGACTATTGATCCATAAAATGAAAGCAATTCATTGAAAATGTAAAAAATGAAAAAATGAAAATGAAAAAAAAATGAAAGCAAAAATGTACTGCAGTGGCACAATCAATCAATCAATCAGTAGCTGAACTGGGTTCCACACAGTCACAAAAACAAAACAAAAAAGAGCCGCAAAAACAAAAAGACAGATCTCAGTGTGGCACTCAAATCAGAAGCATAACACTCAAAACGGAGCATGTTCGGCTTCCGGGAAAGGTTCGCAAACCGGAACAGTTACTTTTGGGTTTGCAGTGTTTGGGTTCCAAGTTGTTTGAGTACCAAGGCGTTTGAGAACCAAGGTACCACTATGATTGTTCACACAAATGAAGACTGAACTAATACTCTATGCTCTGGTAGCTGCAAGGTGCTCTATTTGATGCTCCCCTGAAAACTGTTTGGGAAACTGCAGAATGCAGCAGCCAGATTGCTGGTGGGGATGGCTGTGAGAAGGCGCATGAAGCAGCCACACGGCTTGACTATTCGTGTCCAATCCCAATTCAGGGTGCACAGGTTAGTTTCAGAAGTCTTAAAGGACGTGGGACTCAAATATCTCACTATTTTCAGATCCGTCCTTACATAAGAACCTCATTTTCACCAATAATAGGCAAATGTTTCAGGCATCGCAGGAGGAAGAGATGGGAGCTTACCTGTAAATGGCTCACACAGGTGAATGGCCATCTGTTCAGAACAGGGGCTTCTATCTGCTCTCGTGGGGCTTTTCAAGGTTCCTGCTTCATCCTCAGTAGCATTGGCAGCTGTTCCACAAGTTTCACCTTTCCATAAGCCTCTCTCCAAAGCTTGAGCCGCAGAGGGGCAGATGATACCAGAAAGCCATTTTACAATAAATAGCAGTGCGAGGCAGCACAAAGCAAGTGTTATCCCACAATTTCAAATGCACCCCCCATCTCTTTCCTTGTTGCCAGAAATATTGTGAACCACCCGGATATCTTCAGATGAAGGGCGGTATATAAATTTAATACAATTAAATTAAATCCAGGCTTTTAGAGAAGTGGGTTTCTTGCATAAAAGTGCTCAATCCATGACAATTGCGCAACCAGAATCTTGCCAGTAGGTGACTGAATCTCACCCAAAAATAGTGACAGTCAGGAGGTGCCCTTAGACAACAATCACTGGATTTCTAACATCTGAGGCCCAAAATGAATTGGGTGGTGGGACACTGAAGTGGAGAAACTGCAGGAAAACTCACCTTCTGCTGCCCCCCCCCAAAATACTGTTCTCCAGGCCATTTCCCCCTTTCTGGATGCAAACCTCTGCTGCAAGTTAAATATGATGGGAGCAGCAAGGGTTAAGCCATCCCTTTTTACCTGCTATACCTCTGTATTCCCTCCCAGCATCAAAGGCTGGGAGCCAAACTGAACCATTATTTAAAAATCTTTATTTAAGCCATAGCTGTCAATTTACAAATTTGAAAATAAGGGACCAGCAGCCTTGAAAATAAGGGACCAGCAGCCAAAATAAGGGACCTGCAGCCTCACCTGTTCCAGGCACTCCAGTCTTCCTGTCCTCCTGCCGTCTGGTCAAACTCATGCTGGGTAGCCTCGAGAACACTGCCCAACCAACTTTGTAACCAGAGGTTCAACTGACTAGAATCTGAATCACATGCACCACAAGGCCTATGCAGCCTCAACTTAAGATGGCTCCCTGGCCTGGCTTTGCACTGCAAAGTTTGCAGCAGCACGTGCAGCAAAATGGCTTCCAGCATTCAAAAAACCCCTCAGCTTGCATTAACTAGCCACACACAAGGCATGCAAGCTCCATCCCCCAGTCGTTCTTAGACTCCTTATTGGGTGAGCAACACAGCCAAGCAACACAGTTGGAGCCTCCCTCCTCCCTGGCCGGCAGGGAGGGAGGGAAAGGAGCTGCTTCCTTTGAAATTTAAGGGACATCATTTAAGGGACATCCATCAATAAGGAACAGCAGCGGGACATGGCGCTGGAATAAGGGACTGTCCCTTCAAATAAGGGACACTTGACAGCTATGATTTAACCCTCCCAGCCTTGAAAACCTCCAGATGATGGGGTTGCAGATGCATGTCACACTGCACTCCCTCATCCCCAAATACCGACTTATTTATTTAATATAGTCCACCTTTCTTCCAAACTGGGATTCACGGCGGCTTTAGAAACATCATTATAAAATGCAAAATAATAAACCAATAGTTAAAAATACATTAAGACACACTCAGAACCAGCACTAAAGTGCAGTTTGCTCTGGCAGCAGCTAGGTGGTCAACATCATCTGCATTTCAGTTTTCAGTGGTCTGTCTGATTAATAAGGTCTTAACCTGCCAGAGGACGGGAAACAAAGAGGAAGCCCTTCTAGCCCAAGCATGTACATTTTTCCGGTGGTAAAATCATAAAAATAGCTCAACAACTTCAATCCTAAAAAAAGGTCAACAACTTTGGTGGTCAGCCCTTTGGTTCACTTCATCAAATTTGGCCCTCTTTGAAAAAAAATTAGACAACCCTGGTCTAGCCTCTCGCTTATGGGGGGAGTTTTTAATCACGTACCTCCCAATTCCAACAATAACCACTAATGTGAGGTGTAGATAGAGCACCAGAGAGATGATTTGAAGGATGAAAGAATAGACACTCACAAATGTTTCTTTCCCCCTTGAAAGAAAGGGAACTACCCCCCCCCCAAAAAAAAACCCCACAGAGGTGAACTAGATGACCCTTGCGGTCGTAACTCTATGTTATCTTCAACTTTTTATTTTTTTGGGGGGGGGGGGAGAGGGATAAAATAGAAAAAAGCTGACTTAACTAGGAAGCTGTAATGCCTGCAACGCTCAACAGTGCAGTTTTGTTGTATTGTCTTAGAAGGGGTTTGACTACGTTGGTTGCCATTAACAGCGCATGCACTTCACAAATCACCACTGCACCACTGGTCAGGGCAAATGCATACTCTTAAGGCTGCGATGAAACATTATGATAGTCATGTGTCTTTTGCCCAAAGCAGCAAACTTGAGTTTTCCCTCTCTCTCTCTCTCAACATCTTATACATCGTATGTGTAATACAATGTCACCTAATGTTACAGTGCCCCACCTCCCTGCTTCCTTGGTTGACCCTTGCCTGGGCTGAAAAACACTTTGCATGCGACAACAAGCCTACCGTAATATTTTGCATTATTAGACGTCACCAGGAAGAGGGAGAGAATTAGGCACTGCGTTTCAGCTTTGGGCAGAGGCACCTCGCACCCTGAGCTCTAGACCAGGGGTCAGCAAACTTTTTCAGCAGGGGGCCGGTCCACTGTCCCTCAGACCTTGGGGGGGGCAGACTATTTTTGGGGTGTGTGTGTGAACGAATTCCTATGCCCTACAAATAACCCAGAGATGCATTTTAAATAAAAGCACACATTCTACTCATGTAAAAACACACTGATTCCCGGACCGTCCGCGGGCCAGATTGAGAAAGCGATTGGGCCAGATCCAGCCCCCGGGCCTTAGTTTGCCTACCCATGGTCTGCACAGCTAGCCATTATTTGGGTGGGCATATGCCCCTTCCAGCTGTCTGAAGGCCTGCTACCCTGAGGCCAATGCCTCACCTTGCTTCATGGGCAAGCCAGGCCTGAGAGTCAGACAACTTCTTTCTAAACTGAAAAGATACCAAGTGCTCTAGTTTAAGATGATCCACCTTAAAAAAGGTAAAGGTACCCCTGTCCGTACAGGCTAGTCATGTCCGACTCTAGGGTTCTGCGCTCATCTCACTTAAGAGGCCGGGAGCCAGCGCTGTCCAGAGACACTTCCGGGTCACATGGCCAGCGTGACGAAGCTGCTCTGGCGAGCCAGCACCAGCGCAGCACACGGAAACACCGTTTACCTTCCCGCTATAAAGCGGTACCTATTTATCTACTTGCACTTAAGGGTGCTTTCGAACTGCTAGGTGGGCAGGAGCTGGGATCGAAAGACAGGAGCTCACCCCGCCACGGGAATTCGAACCGCCGACCATACGATCGGCAAGTCCTAGGCACTGAGGTTTTACCCACAGCGCCACCCGCGTCCCTATGATCCACCTTACCTGTACATTTACTGGGGGAGGGCACACAAATCCCCTTCGTTGTCTACCCCTCCCCTCACTCTGAATCCCTTTCCCCCCAGAGTTTTGATCAAGGAACTGTGCACTACACATGCCATGTGGTTTTAAAATAAAGGGTTTTTGGGTTTGTTTGTTTGTTTGTTTGTTTGTTTTTTGGAAAACGAAGACAGACATCTAAGAACTTACCAAACACGATCAACGCAATCACGGCCGATCCCAGAATGACACAGGTTGCCCCTAATATCCCCAGCGAGATTTTGTACCGAGCGATTAGCCTAGAATTGCCTGCAAGAATTCAATGTGGAGTGAGGAAACTTAGCCACAGTTCTGACCCTTGGCAGCTAATCCCCCCCCCCCCCGAATACATATTCAACACAGCACTAAGATTGCCATGTTTCATATTTTTGGCATGAGTATCCTGGAAACAACCGTATGTCCTGAATCAGAAACAATCATGATATTCAGGACAGAGAAGCTGTTGTTGTAAACATGCCTTGTTGGCCTACGCACAAAGGTTTTGCAATGTCTGACTGGCACAGACGGAGGAGACCTCAGAACATACCAAAAAACCCTGTTATGCAGTTTGCAAGCAGTATATGAGCACAATACCACTCTCTCCACTTGTAATCTCCAGTAATTGGTATCCAGAAGTAGACCACAGCAGCTATTATTATTATTATTATTATTATTATTATTATTATTATTATTATTATTATTTTATTATTATTTAAACAAATTTAAAGAATGCTTCACAGTATAAAGTCATCAAAGCAGTCTCCGTGATTAAAAATAAAGCCAAACACAATAAAACTTGCAGTGCAACACAATTTCATCAGATACAAAAGGAATCTTCCATAAATGACTGGGTTAAAGCTTTCCCAAACAAACGAAGTCTTCAGTAGTTGACTGAACATTATCACACATAGCATATCTATCTGATATTGACTGGTATCTGATTCCAGAGAGCAGGAGCTGCAGCACTAAAGGCCAGGTTTCTAGTCCATGCTAAGCACACCTCTGGAGTGCATGATACTTTCAGCAGTGCCCCATCTGAGGAGCACAGTTGCTGGGCAGGGAAGTGATACAACAGGCCAGAAGTTCCCTCAGATATCTTGGTCCCTTCTAGGGCATTGCAATTTGTGTCACATCTAACTTCCTCTGGTGAGTGCTGGAAGGAACATTATTTTAGTTTGCAGTTGGACTGCAATGAATGTTGCATTTGTGCAGCTGATAGACAAGTAGCAATGCAATAGGCTTCAGCCGGCTTTGTGGGCCCAGGGCTGTTTTAAGAAATCACACTGCCAGCATGCATTCATTTCTGCTGGCCCGGTTCAACCTGAACTTTTAGAAATAGTATTTTATCACAAGTACCACAAGTATCTACCACAAGTATCTAACAGTACCACAAGTATCTAGCACTCTGGTCTCAAGATTAATAAATGATGATGATGATGATGATGATGATAACAACTTGACCCTGTCAAAAATTGCACTAACAAAAAAATTCCTTCCAGTAGCACCTTAAAGACCAACTAAGTTAGTTCTTGGTATGAGCTTTCGTGTGCATGCACACTTCTTCAGATACACACGAAAGCTCATACCAAGAACTAACTTAGTTGGTCTTTAAGGTGCTACTGGAAGGAATTTTTTTGTTTTGACTATGGCAGACCAACATGGCTACCTATCTGTAACAAAAATTGCACTGAAAGTGTGCAGAGCAGACAGTGCATTATATTCAGAAGTATATCACCTGCTCTAGACTAGCCTTGCTTTTGGCCAGATTCTCCTGCCTCAAAGACACGGCCAGCTCTAGACCTTATTATTTCTTAAAGCCACAACAGTCTCCACCGTGTCTCAATTCTCCAAAGGAACACAGACCCCAGGTGAATGCCTGGAACCCCATGGCCTCTTGCCAGCACTCAGCAGAGAGCGCACGACTGTTGTAACATTGTTATATTTCTTAGGTACTCTTATTGCAAGGTACCTCAAAGTGGCTCACGTTTAAATAAATTACAAACATCAATGAAAACCTAAAAACACAACCATACAAATTTTAACAGTGAAAAGCACGATTAAAAAGATGCTACTGCTCGTTGCCACTGCAGCCTTATGCTCCATGATTTTGTTTAATACCCTTTCAAAGCCATCCAAGTTTTGCAGGAGTGGATTCTATAATTTCAATATGCACTGTCCCTTTGTCTGTCGTGAATCTCCCAACATCCAGCTTCATTGGATGAACCCTAGTTCTTAGATTAGGAGAGAAGGAGAACTTTGTAAATTTTCTTTATATTATGTGCCTGTATTCATGACCTTGCCTTCTTTTTCTACTGGCCCTCCAGATCATTTTGTTTCCCCCTTTTGGTTCCCTTTCCAGATGTCCAATATCAAATAACAAGCAATGTCAGCCTCTCCCTAGCTGCCACTAATGCCACTGATGTTGTGAATTTTAACACAAATATAAATAATAAAAAAGATTAGCACAACACTATCATGCAAAGTATGAAATAAAATGAACCTTATGCCCAACTGCTCCCTGCTCTCTGCATTTACTGCTAAGCAGCTTACAAAGTATCAAACTCACTTACGCAGAGTGGTATTCAACTAGATGTTACTCTGAAATTAATGCACTGAAATTAATGCACATGACCAAGGCTATCCTCCTAAGCCCACTTTCACCTGGAAAGTAAACTCCATTGAATTCAGCAGAACTTACTCCTCAGTAGACACGGTTAGGTTTGCGGTGCATAAATTGCAACGAATCTACATTGAGTAAAAACTTAGTTGAATACAACCAACAAAATATGAACTAGTAGTGATACCCCAAAAAGTTGCTCAAACCTAATTCAGAGAGGGTTGTGTGCCCCAGAAAGGGCACTGTTTAATAATAATATAAAAGTGCAAACGAATATTTTTTTTTAATTAAAAAAAAACCCATACCTTGCGTCCTCTTAGCTTCTGCCCAGCGTGCAGAATTTTTATTACTTGGCTGGGGACTTAACGCCATGTAGCCGTCTTCATCTTCCATGGCCCCAAATGGTTAAATCTCAAGAGACTTGTGAAAAAGAATGAGCTTGTCTAGATGCTGGCTAGTTCTCTTGAATGTGGGGCTCAGGGTTGCAAAGGAAATGCAAGCACCCTTTCCGGCGTCTCAACTGTGAAACCACAGGTAAGGTCTTAAAAAGTGACCATAATAGATAATAATCTAACACAGTATATAGCAGGCAAGGTCTAGCACTTTTCTTGGGTACCAGATCTCAAATGCATATGCAGGCTGCCAATATAGCAGTACAGTATTCAAAAGCACACTGGCCGCGACTGGCAGCAACGCTAGAAGCCACCGAGAGCCTCATCCTTCCTGAATTCATCTAGTCCTCTTTTTAAGCATCCATGTTGGTGGCCATATATTTGTTTCTTGCTCTTCCACCCAGGAGCTCAAGGTTGTCTATTTTCCTCCCCTCTCCTCCTGCCTTTTATATTTGCACATTGCAACAGCCTGCGAGGCAGGCTAGACTAAGCTAATGGATGTACATGGCACAGCAGCTCTTGCCAACAGATGCAGGGATGCAGGGAGCCTAATCCACATACAGTGTTCCAGGCGCAGAAAATCATGTTGCAGTTTCCACCAGCACCTCCTAACTAGAACCTGGCAATTAGAGAAAGCTACCTGTTGTTAGCAACTCTGAAAGGCTTGCTAAAGCAATCAACAAGCCTCCTGTTCTAGCGTTTTGCCAGAGGACAGCTCAACCTGGACATCCTGCAGTATAATTTATATCACCGAATGAACAAAACCAAACCCCAGGATCTCATATCCAGTACACAGGTAAAACCAGTGCTTTTTTTTCCTTTAAAAAAATGTTTAGGGGTACTCTCACTTTTCTACTCTTATTGAAATACTGCCCCTCAATTAGGCCAAACTTAGATTCACAAAAGGTTTAGGGGTATGCGTAGCCCTGCGTACCCCCAGAAAAAAGCACTGGGTAAAACTGCAACTGATATACGCAATATATATATATATATACACACAATATACACAATATGCACAATATATACACAATATAGAAGTTGCCATTTTTTTACCCGGCAAACATGGAGGAAAACCCTTTAATTCTGAGAAACATAGCTTGCCGGATTTATCAATAATTGCTATGGTGATGCAAATAGATCCAACAATGTTAGCAAAAGGGGGGAATTTGTGGATATTAACATGCTGAGCACATGAACACTACGCGGCCTCCACTTTTGCGTAGCTTTAGTGAACAAAGGTCTTCTGAGCACTCCATCTGCAAAGGTCTGTAAATGCCACCTTGAAAGCAGCATCGTTTTTACCAGAGCAACCGAGGAAGGCAGAAGACAAAACATGTTGCAATGAGAATTTAAAATGTGTTTTGTGTGTAAATGTAATAAATGTACGGTTTTTAGTGATTACCTGCATCCATTAGGGGAGGGGTGGTAGCTCTGGTGGGGGACACATTGTGCTGCTTCTGGGGTGGTTTGTCCACCTTTGGTCCGGATTTAGGTTTGCTGAGGCCCTGAGCTATTGAAGGTAGTGGGGTCTTTTATATGTCCAGCTGTCCTTTGTCAACAACAAATTCTCGCTGCTATATGGTAATTTATGGACCTAATAAGTCCCTACACAACACAAAACACTGTTGCTGTATGTTTTATTTTATTTGTTTTTTATCTTATATTTTGGAAATGCACATCCAGTTTTCCGCCCTTTATTTTTTGGGCTGCCCCCGAGAGGGGCCCTAAGCTATAGCTTGTTTAGCTTACACGTAAATCCGACACTGGTCCCCACCCTGCACTCAGCTCTCCCCCTGCGGTTCCGAGAAGCTGTCAGCGTGGCTTTGACTGGCCGGCTAAACCAGGTGAGGGGAACCTATGAGTCTCAAACTCTTGGTGTTTTAGGGACTTCCCGTGCATGCGAAGACAGGCTGCAGCAGGTTGAGCAGACGAGACCAAGCGTGGGTCCCAGTCACTGTATGTGCTACTACCACTTCCTCTAAAAATAAGAAAAGAATAGCAAACCTTGAAGCGAGTTCCATGAAAGGAGCTTGAGGTTATCTTTTGGGGAACTTGCTTTATGGAACCATTTTTTCTCAAAAGGGTGGAAGTGGAAGGCAGCCTTCCAAACCCCCCTTGCGTAACCCTAACCTGGATCATTTAAACGTGTCAGGGGGAATTCCATCTGCTTTCCGGGGGACTTACTTCTCAGCGGAATCTCAGTGTATCTGAAGAAGTGTGCATGCACACGAAAGCTCATACCAAGAACTAACTTAGTTGGTCTTTAAGTTGCTACTGGAAGGAAGTTTTTTATTTTTTCTCAGCGGAAATTCCTCTAAGCCTTAATTACTGTGAACCGCAGGCTGGGTTTTCCTTTATCCATTTTCAGGTAGGTAGCCGTGTTGCTGACACAGTAGAATATTATATATATAATATTGACACAGGAGAGAGAGAGAGAGAGAGAGAGAGAGAGAGAGAGATTTCTATATATATATATATAGTGAACAAAGGTCTTCTGAGCACTCCATCTGCAAAGGTCTGTAAATGCCACCTTGAAAGCATTTACACCTTGAAAGCATCTATATATATATATAGAAATCTCTCTCTCTCTCTCTCTCTCTCTCTCTCTCTCTCCTGTGTCAGACCAATATCGCGTCCAGTACCACCTTAGCTAAATTTGTTCTTGGTACGAGCTATACCAAGAACAAACTTAGTTGGTCTCTAAGGTGCTACTGGAAAATTCCTTTATCCATTTGTAAGATTGCTAGCAGCACTGGAGCACAAAGCTGAGCGCTTGCTTGTTTGCTTGCTGTGCGTAGCCGAGGTCCCTCTGCGCGATTGCAACGCGCACCCCCCAATTTTCAAACGGGGACGGGCTTTGCTTTCCTCCCTCTGGGGCTGCAAGGCGTCGACTAAGCGAGCGCATCCTCCTTGCAGCATTGTGCGGGGACAGTTTCTGCTGGCTTGCGAGTATGAGGACGAGGCATCTTGCAACACAAATGGGTTTTTTCCCAGCCCCGCCTCGACAGTTTCCCGCGTCGGGGTGGAGGGAGGCTGCCTCTCCCCTCCTACGTCACGGCCGTTCGCGTCATCCGAGTTGGGACAGCCCCAGCCAATCTGCTGGCAGGGTGGGTGTGGCTGCGGGCAATTTAATCTCAGTGCACCTTCTTCTCCTTGCTTCTTCTTCGGATCAGGACCAGAGAGGACTGTGCAGTCGCTGTTGCATCCCTGCTGCTTTTGCTCCCTGCCGCTGCTGCACGAGGCTTTTTGCCTTTGCACCAGCCGCGCGCTCCTGCTTCTCAGCTGCTGGGCTGCAAGCTGGGGTTTTTTTTGGTTTTTTTTGCTCAGCAGGCTCCTTGTACGGTTTGCCAGCGGCACGTTTTATTTCAACAGTAGGGTTAGACTCTTATGCACACACCCCTTTTGCTTCTCCGTGGATTTTGTGAGAACGGAAGGCTGTGCTCGTCTTTATTTGCATTTACTGAGTGGGTGCTTTTGAGAGCGAGTGGGTTCGTTTGCTTGTTGGGCTTGCGGCACCGATTGTGTGTGGCCTGATTGATTGCTCTGTCTCTGGACTCTGTCCCTTGCCTCTAGGGGCTTTCTGCTTACTTTGGGGTTGCTTTGGAAATCTACGGTACTCTCCTTCCTTTTTGGCTTGGAAGTTTGTATCCTGACTGTTGCCCTATTTTGTTCTGGGTTTTTGCCCAGTTCGGTTTCTGGTCTTTAAGGGGCGTCGCCTTCGTCGCCATTTTGATTAAGGGCAGCGTGGTCGGGGCAGTCGGTCATTTTGGGAGAGGCACGTGGCCCTGTCACTTGTTTTGAGTAAACGGCGGGAAGCAGCTCTTTCACCAGCTCTCAACTTACTTGCTGGCATTCCTCTGTGCTTTTAGGGGTTTTCAGGCTTGCATCTCCCCCTTCCTCTTATTAATTCTGAGCTGCTTTGTTCCACTTTTGTTTAGATTCTTTCTGCGTTTTCACTCCTAATTTTCTGCCCAGTTTACCTTGTTGCTCTGGAAGTCCTGGTTTATATCCCCTGCTCCATGGGCCTTTTACTTTCTGCCCAACTGTAAAATAAAATTGATAAAAGCAATAAAAACAAAATTGAAGTAGGTTAAAATAGAACTAGTAATAAGAAATAAGTAATAATAATAACTCTAGCTTTCATTTGAATACGTTTTGTCCTATTTGGATTCTGCCAGTTGGTTTGGTGATTCTTGCTGATCGCCTGCCTGCTCATTTTGTGCTTATAGTTGCTGGTTAGTGTGGTCAGTGCTAAGCCCAAGGCTGCTGGCTTTTTAGTGTCAACAATACTGCCTCTGACTGCCTCCTGGTGTTGCAGCCAGTGTCTAGGCAGTACTAGACAGTCCTTTCGAAGTTCCATCTGTTAAGCTTGGTGTAGGTAATACTGAGCTTGCTTGATTGTGCACAGGTGCCACTGCCTGCCAGTGTGGCCACTATTGAGATTAGCTGATTACACTGCACTGTGCACAGATGGTGCTGGCTGCCGGCCTGCTTATGCAATATCGACCTTAGTTGACTTCTGGCCCGGGTAGTGCTTGCTGCTGGCCAGTGTAGACAGTGCCGAGCCTGTTTTACAACGCTGCTCTGCCCTGCTTGTGTTGCTGCCGGCCTGTGTGTCCTGTCATCTGTTAGTTATTTCAGCTCCTTATTGAATTGTCCCTGGGCCAAGTCGCCATGCCCGTAAACTCCAAGCAGAAGGTGGCCGTTTCCCCTCCACGCACCAGGCGTGGGACTGTTAGGCTTCCTCCTGCCCAAGCCCCCGCTAGTCAAGGGTCTGCTTTGTTACCTCGCCAAGTTTCTCTGACTGCAATGGGAAATAGTGTTGGTGTGACTTCTGAAGTCATACCCCCTACCCAGACTGACGTAGTGCCCGCATCAAGACCCAATCACGCCTTCATACGTTTCATCGAGGGGCTCGAAGGCTTGGTCCACAGTTTCAAAGCTCGGGCACTGAACCAATCACACGCCTTGTCCTCAACCCAGGGTCATGTGGTGGGATCTTCATCGGCTTTTTCTGGCTTTTCACCTTACCAACCCCCTTCAACCCAGGCATCGCCTCCGGGTTTTTTGCCAACTTCTCCAGGCCATACCTATTCTCACCCGCCTCCAGTACAATTGACGCCAGAGCTTCCTAGCACGTCATCCGTTTTGTTTAACCAGTCCTCGACCACATCTGCTAGCGTATTTCAGGGTGCCCAAGTGGCCAGCCGTCCTGTGGCTGCAATAGCACAGTCTCAAGGTGCTGCTGCTGCAACAACGGTGCAGGGACCGAGTGGCTCAGGGGTTTCAGTTGCAGTAGCTGAAAAGCGGAAGAGAGGGCCTGGTCAGGATCAGAATGCTGGGCCTAAGTCTCCGGCAAAGAAGTGCAAAAGGAAGCGTAGTGGTAAAGGAAAGAAGAAAAGGCGCAAGGATGACTATGATGATGATGATGAGTCAGGCACATCAAGTTCAGATGATAGCGATTCCTCGCTTGGTTGTTATTGGGGTGAAGGAGAGGATTTGGGGGCCCTCCCATACTGGTGCTTGGAGCGGAGAGCCAACTCCCACCGTAAACGGTTTGGGGGAACTCTAGAGTGGAAGGACGGGGCTTTGGTGGAACAGGTAAACACTACAGATGTTCCTGGCAATGTTCCTGGCTATCATTTGAGCACAAAATTGCGGGCAAAAATTCTGAATGGGGAATATGTGGACATATTCAAATTAGTGCCGACATGGATTGCGATGCGTAGGGGAAAGTTGAAGTGCCGGAATGGGGCACCTCAGGTTGAGAGGTCCTTCGCCAATTGGCTTGAGGGTTTCTATGTTTTTATTGGAGTGGTATCCATGGCCTACCCTAAGCGGGCGTGGCATCTTATCAACTACCTCAAAATTGTAAGGGAGGTGTATGCTCTGGCAGGAGAAGATGCCGCAATTGCTTATGACACAGAATTTCGCCGGAACGCTTCCCACCTATCCAACACCAGATGGGATCAGCTGGATCAGCCATTATGGTTTGAGCTTGTGTGTTCGGAAAATAACAACAAACCGCAGGAGGCTAGCAGGCATCCTAAGTTCGCCTCCAAGCATAAATCCTCATCATAAAGTCTGCTGGGATTTCAATGATGGGACTTGCCAACGGGCGAACTGCAAATTTCCCCATAAATGCGAGAGGTGCCTTGGAACTCACCCCTGCATTTCTTGTAATTGGGGTTAAGCAGCCCTTTTGGGGGGCTGGGGGTTTCATGCTCGGGGAGCCCCCAGCGCAGCCCCAAAATCGGGCATGCAAGGCATACATGAACAATAGTTGCTTCTCACTTGCAAGCCTCCCCATGAAGCTCAATTCACTCAAACGATTACTTGATGAATACTCAAATCCCGAGTCGACTTAATACATTTGGGACGGTTTCTTTTTCTTGTAAATAATTTTTATTAATTTTCAATTAAAGGCATTCCAATTAATAATAAAATTGAATCTTGCCACATTAAAACACACACAATAAAACCAATGTTACAATCTGAATTAAATAATTTCAAGGGAGCTTCCCGTGTTCTGGATGTCAGGAACAATGTTCCTGCGTTCATTTCTTTTGTTCCCCAGCTTCATAAATCCAATCTTAACCATTATTTTATGCAGTCCTGGTGTGGAACTCTCGTGTCCATTAAATCCATTTCTATTCTAACACAGGAGGCAATTTTTTCTGTTGCTGTTGTTCATTCATATATATAGATATATATGATTTGCATAGTCCTCTCCGTGACCCCATCTTTGATTTTCCGCTTTATCTTCCAGGCTCCAGGCTCTGTTCCCACTTTTCTCAACAGGTGCCAACCCTCCTTCTTTTGATAAGATTTATGGCACAGCAGTCTTTAGGTCTTTCAGACTTCTAATAAGTTAGTATTCCAAATATAAATGAACTTTATATCCCACGCAATGCCGTGGGATATATTTCACTAATTGTTTGGTGAATGTTTAGCTTAGCTCATCTAAGGATGCATGCCCGATTCCCCGGGCCCTAGGGAAGCGAGCCAAATCAAAATTTCACATTTGCATTCACATTACACCATATATTGAAAAGGGAAAGGAAATCCATGCAACCAAATGCAGTTTTTTTAATGTGAAATATTCCCTGATGTGTCCAAATGTCTGGGGGAGGCTGTTTCTTTTTCTTCTATGCCATAGCTGCCATTTTTTTTCATCCCAAGCCTCTTCATATCTGATCTTGGTTTGCCAGTTCTAATTGGGGCTCTCCGCCGAGAGCCACGCAGCTTAAATATTGAATTCCTTTCTTGCAAGGTTCGGAAAGTCGTGATTAGCAAATGTAGAAAAAGATATAGGTGCTCACCTCATGATGACGCACCACGATGAAAGTCCTTTTCAAATGAAAGCTCTGGCATCCAGTGACTGATTTAATTAGCAAGGGGTTTTTTTTATCTCCTCCTTTCCAGAACACGCCTGTTTCTTAGTCCAAATTTTAATGATTTTAGGAAACAGGGCTCTCCCCCACTCATGGCGATGACTCTGGAGAGTTGCCAATTCATGCAGTGCAGCCTCATCCAGCATCCCTTCTGTAGCGAGTGGCAGTTATCGGACGAACTGCGGGTGACGGCCAGTCCCCCCCTACCCTGGGGGGGGGGTCAGCAGGGATAATTACCCCTGAAAATCTGCATGGTTGGGGTCTGGTGTTCTGGGAAAGCAGCCAGCAGCCATGGCAGGAAATCAGCCATTTGGGTCGGTTTCAATCGGGGCTTCCGAATTCCTGTTTCTTTTCCCTTAGCTCCCAGGATCCACCAAATTAAAAACTGGTGTATTTTTATCATGCACAATTTAACATTTAATTCCATTTCCTTCAGATGGTACAGGGGCTCTCAGATGCAGCTTCCGGGCTGCCTCCACTTTCCCCGAAGGTAGCCAGGCTGAATAGTTGCTGGGGTCAGGGAAGGTGGAGGCAGCCCGGAAGCTGCACCATCTGAAGGCAGCCAGGCATTCCCTGGCTGCATGCAAGCAGGCATGGGGGCAGGAATCTCTCAGCTGGGAAGAGGGGAGGCTTAGCTCCCCAGCTGAGCATTTAGAATTAAAACTGAAACTTTCCAGAAAACTTGTGAAAAAGCAGCAACACAAGAATTTTTTTTAAAAAGCAAACCAACCGCAAATGAATCAAAATCACAAGAAAACATAAAACACTGACCTAAACCTGATTCTAATTCTTACCCTAACGCTAACCCAGTCCTAAAATTAACCCAAACCCAGAAATGTTCTGGTTAGATTTTCCGATTGAGCCAGTACATAGGTACATTTGTCAGTGAATTGCTAAATATGGTAATGTGCAGCAGAGGCTCTTTTTCTTTGCCACGTGGTTTGACTGAATTTCCGTCTGTTGCGCAGCTGGCACATGGAGTGTGTTTGCGCTATAAACTCAATTCCTAAACCATTCATGTTTAGGCAAGTCTAACCCACCCTGCAGAATCTCATTTTTCCCTTCCTTTCTGTAGATGCTATTTATTCTGGAATGCTTCCAAATGCTAATTGTGTGCATGTTTGTGTGGAAAACCCACACCTACTACAAAGCTATGAGCAGAGCAATTCTAGCCGCGCCTACTCAGCTCTTACTCCCAGGGAAGTAAGGGTAGTGACGGTTGGTGCATTTCTCAAGATAACAGCAACGGTTTTCCTTCGACAGCAGCTGCGCCTCAGCGCTTGTACATTTTCCCCCAGGCTACCCTGAAGGGCCTCAAGGAAGACACGCTGCTCTTTCCCCCTGCTTTTATAACTTTCTTTTAAATGTATAGGAACCGTTCATTGTTGTTTTCACACGTTTCTCATTTTAGGATTGCAGCTGTTTTTTCTTTTTTAATATTTGCACCCCACTTTTCCAACAACAAATGTTGAGCTCCAAGGGGTTTTCAATAACTGCATTAAAAAACAAACAAGACTTGCAGTCACTATAATATCAAGCGTTGTGCTTCCCCGGCCCCCGTTTTTTTCCTTCCAGTGGCTGCAGCAGCAGCTACAACAAAGGCACCAGGACCCATTCCTGGAGTTTTCTGACTGGAGTTTTCCTGGAGTTTTCTGACGGGAGAGACCCAAGTCTTTGCAACTTCCAGATTGAGTAATGCTGTGGTAGAATGTCGTGGATTCTGTGGCATTTTGCTCATTGCACCAATTCGTTTGGCTACTTGGTGAGCAACTGCTTCAACAGCTGCGGCTAACGTTTAGATCAGTTTCCACGTGTTTCAAAATTGAAAGTTCAGATTGTTGCAATGCCCCTTTCAAGCCTGCAGTTTGCCTCACACTGCTAGCTGCAAAAGGATTCGAGCTACTATTTAAGCGCCTCTTCTGTGCAGCCAATAGGTTTACACATCGTGGCAGGAAATCAGGAAAGAGTAAAGTGGCCCACCCCGGAAAATGTGAGGAGGAGGAGCGCCGCATGCTCTTCATCGAGAGGTAAGGATTTCTGCCTTGTCCTGGAGGAAAAAAACCTTTAGAACCCGATATGAACAGATTCTAGACTGGAAGCAGGTCTGGTGGGTGGGAGATGTTGAAATCATAGAATTGTAGAGCTGGAAGGGACCCCGAGGGTCATCTAGTCCAGCCCCCTGCAATGCAGGAATCTCATTTAAAGCATCCAGGACAGATGGCCATCCAACCTCTGCTTAAATGAAGAAGAGGTAAGGCGACTGAGGAGGCGGGAATTGGGAAGCCGCATGAGTGCTTGCTTCTGGAGTGTGGATCTTGGTTGTCTGTGGGGGTGTGTGGAATAAAGGAGTTCTGGAAAGGCGAGAAAATGCTGTGCTGAATTTAGGCAGGGGGGCACCTCTCACTTGGGGAGGAGGCTTTTGCCTAGCTTCTATCATACAATTGTACTCTATTAAGGGGCCAGATGGAGGGGGGGAAACACGTGTACATGTGTGTGTGTATAGAGGTCACCCCAGCACATGGCAAGAACCTGTGACTGGCATCCCTATGTTAACTCCTTGGGAGAACCCAGAACTGTTAGGGACTGAAGAGTCTGAATAATTCTGTGGAAGTATTTAGGTGTCTTTCGACAAATTCGCAGAAGTTCATTAAATTAAATTACGCTTCTCTGCTGAACAAGGATGGTTGCGTTATCAATAATGTTGAATGGGCACGGTTAATGTAATTCTCACTGCTTGCGCTTCACAACGTTTCATTTCTTCCTGACCATGCTGCTTACAGTCTTCCTCTCCTCTCTTGTGTGCTTGCGCATGAAAGCAACTTGGTATAATGGCTTCATGCATCAGATGAAGGGCACTGTATTCCATCAAAGGTTACAGCAACATACAGTGGTACCTCAGGTTACATACGCTTCAGGTTACAGACTCCACTAACCCAGAAATAGTACCTCGGGTTAAGAACTTTGCTTCAGGATGAGAACAGAAATTGTGTGGTGGTGGCATGGCGGCAGCAGGAGACCCCATTAGCTAAAGTGGTACCTCAGGTTAAGAACGGTTTCAGGTTAAGAACGGACCTCCGGAACGAATTAAGTACTTAACCTGAGGTACCACTGTACACCTGTTAGTCACTCCGTCTAAGCAGATGGTTTTCTCGTTTCCCCTTTCCAGTTCTGCAAAGAAGCAGCAAGTGAGACTTGAAACTGGAAGAAAAATGGGGCCAGGGGCTTTTGGGAAGTGATCTGTATCTGAGGGTGTGAAAACCTGGCTGTGGATGTCACTGTGTTTTCCAAGGCTTCCTTTAGCAGGAATATCTGCCCTCTAATGCTCAGAACTCCCTCCCAGAACATTTCTATTAACCCCCAACCCATGAATCCTTTCTCAATTTAAACCCTTAGTTTTAATCTCTTCCTGGGTTTAGTAACTTGCCTTGAGTATAGTCCAGGGGTCTGCAACCCGCGGCTCCGGTGCCGCATGTGGCTCTTTTACATCTTTGCTGCGGCTCTGGGGCGGATACTAGCGAGGGGAGGAGGCGCATTGTGCGCCCCGACACTCCTCACTGTGGCGGGCGCTGTACTGGCTGTGACGTCGCATGGGGGCGGTGCGTGTGTTAGTCACGCACCGTCCCGACGTCACCTTCCCGCCCGCTGTCAGATCGTGGCTCCGGAGATATATTTGTTTCAAACGTCGCAATGGTTTTGCGGCTCCCAGTTGTTGTTTTTTCTTCGGAAACGGGTCCAAGTGGCTCTTTTTGTCTTAAAGGTTGCCGACCCCTGGTATAGTCTTACCATCTTCTTTGGACTCAGCTACAACCAGTCAAAAAACAGTGCTTTGCATGCTTTATAAGCCTGCAAAACCAGGTGGTGCTGGAGACCAAAAAAAAAAAAAAAATCTAAGCGGTTTTTACATAGTTTTCCCCCTTTTGTTATAACAATTTAATTTCTGACTTTTTAAAAGCGTTTTTTCGTGTGTGTATACCCACCCTTTTCCTCCTTCCCTTTATTAACAATTGCTGCACTGTTGAAATTTAGATTCTAAACTTCTAGGGGCAGTTATCTGCCTTTTTGCATCACTTGTTACTCTAGTCCTGGTGGTTCTTAGTTGTTCAGTTTAGTTTTAGGTTACTCATGACATTTTAAAGCGGAGACATTTGTTTAACTAATTTTACTTCATCACTCTGAGGACTTCTGTTGTGCTGAGTGTTTTCTGATGTCTCCAGTTTCTTTTGGTGGTGTTAACTGCTGTGGAGGTAAAGTGTGGTACTGTATCTGAATGGAAAAAAAGGAATGGAGAATGATTAACTAAATTATCTCCCCATTATCAGATAGTTCTCTCTCTCTCTCTCTCTCTCTCTCTCTCTCTCTCTCTCTCTCTCTCTCATTGGCACCTAGCCTTAAACAAGCAAGGCATTCAACACTTGCCACCAGGGTGTACCTCAGTGGAAAGTGTTTGGAGGGCAGGAGAGGGGAATAAGATAATCCCTTGGCAGTGCTTGTACAGCACATTGGGCCTATGGAAATCACTGCAAGTGAAGGGAAGGGGGAGAGATTGCTTGGCCAGAGCATTTAATGCTAAATAGAAAATGCAGGGGGGGGGGGTGAGAAAAGAATGGAAAGAGAAGGAATTCCTAGGGCAAGGGAGAGGAAGCTATGTATGTCTGGACTCTGGAGGGGACCAGCAGGGAGTGGTAATGAGTATACTACTTTCTCAAGTTTTGTGTTATGATATGCCCCCATGGCAGCCATTTTGTGACACCTACCAACAGCACCTTATCAAAATTCCACATAGGCCCACGCTCTAAAAAAGTTGGCATCCTGGACCCCTGCCATTAACACATACACTCGACACACCATATCAGTGGAAAATTGAGGCTGCTGGGAGTTCAGGTGGGTGGAGCAGCCCACTGCACCATCCACTCAGGGGATTGTTTGTTTATTTAAAATAATTTACATACTGCTTTTCGTTTGATGCCCATGGTATTTTAAAAAACAGAAATAAAAAAATAACTATCCCAATAAATTATAACTGTAAAGCATCACATGCCTAAGGCCATTAAAAGCTGGCGTCAGTGGTCAGGATATGCACATATCAGCAGATACGTTTTTAGTAAATGAGATTATTTCAAAAGAGTAGGTGCCAGCAGTTTCCTTGTCACAAGATAAGAGCTTTGGAGGTTGCAGCAGGGCTAAAGGCGTCCAAGAAGATCTTAGCTACAGTTCTGTAATTTATTTTATATAAACATTTATATGCCATCCTCATACAACATCAGAGCAGTGTGCAGCAACATACCAACTTTTTATACAGTTTTTTTAAAACAACAATTAGCCGTTCAATCAATCACTAAAATGACTGGCTACTCAATAAACTATTATACAACTGCATAGGCCTGTTGGCATAAAAATATCTCCAAGAGACACCTGAAAATCAAAAGTGAGGATCTCTGCCAAATCTTTCCTGTTCCACAAAATGCCCAACTTTTGCTTGAGGCTGGTGAAGCCTCTGTAATACAGGGGACAGCTAACAGGGCTTTTCTGGATGATCTCAGTGACACAAGGGTTCAGGTGGTCAGGGCTTTGCACATCATCACAAGGGCAGCCACTTGTTATCACATCCTGCCCTTGTGATGTTATCAGTGTTATCCCACGCTGTCAGTCATCTTTCTCCTGATCAGCAGTCTCGCTTCTGCATTCTCTCCCAGCTGAAGCTTCTGGAGCAAGCCCAAGGGCAGCCCTGCATGAAGCACATTGCAGTAATCCAGTCTCAAGGCTCCCAGGGCATGGACTATACTGGCCATGTTATCCCTATCCTTGTATAGCCAGGGCCAGATTAAGACCTTTAAAGGCCCTAAGCACTTAAAAGACTTTGGTGGCCCAAAATATAAACAACAATAGACCATTAAATAAAATATTATTTTTTAAAAAAGAAACAAAACCTACAGTAAGGTGGAAAATAAGGCTTCCAGCTATACTTCCACTTTGTTTTTATTTGGGAGGAAGGGATTCATACCAATGTGTAGTGGTTAAGAGCGGTAGTCTCGTAATCTGGTGAACCGGGTTCGCTTCCCCGCTCCTCCACATGCAGCTGCTGGGTGACCTTGGGCCAGTCACACTTCTTTGAAGTCTCACAGCCCCACTCACCTCACAGAGTGTTTGTTGTGGGGGAGGAAGGGAAGGAGAATGTTAGCCGCTTTGAGACTCCTTCGGTAACAGTATCTGCTGCTCTATTGAGTAGGGCTGGCTGATACCTGGTTTTCAACATTGTTATAGATCACCTGATAAACATTGCAATATCCCGATATATCACAATGTTTTGAATCAAGTGGGAATAAGCCCCCTGACGTATCCTCTTCCGAAGCACCCGACAGTCAAACCTGCAAGCCATGATCAAACCACTGCAGGGATGATTCATTGCATCATTTGCACTCTCCCCTTCTCCAGGTGCAGTGCCCATTCTCTGCCTGTTTAATTGTTAGCAAAGCCTTCTAACCCAGATCAAGTACAAAGATGAAGAGAGAGAGAGGTGAACTCAGAAAGTTTTTTCAAATCAGATTCAGTTCAGGTGAAGCTTCTCTGCTCCTCAGGAACAGGCCTTCCAAACTGTGCATCTGCCCAACTGTCATAGTCTGGAATTACATTGCCAACAAACAACCAACCACAGATTTTTTGGCTATTTAGTGGCTCTGTTGAGCAACTACATTCTTTCTGTGGTGCCGCTGCGAGGCTCAGCAGCTCAGTTATGTCACCCCTTGCCTGCAGAGCTGGCAGCCTCTCACCCTTTTTCAAACACCCTCCCTTGTGGAGGGCTCCCTTAGTCCCCTCTCCTCTCCTCTCACCTTGGGAGGCCTCTGGGCAGCCGCTGCTGCTGTCCATGGTCCCTGAGCTGCCTCAGCTCCTGGCACCAGCCCCCCTGGCCAGCCCCAGAGGCATCCTTCACCTGGGGAGCTCACCTGGGGAGCTTGCAGCCAGGGCTGCTGCAACGAACAGCTGTGCAAGCCTTTAGGAGGCAGAGACGCGAGAGAGCGAGTCAGAGGAGGGAGGGAAGGAAAGATGGACAGATGCCAGTTGAAAACCACAGCCATTTCCGTTCTGGGGTTTCCCCAACTGCCCAGCTAATTACTGCATGGATCCTGAAGGCTGCTTTGTCCTCAGCAGAAGCTCAGCGAAGGAACTTAACTGGGTGTGGTTGCTGCTTGCTGCTGCAGGTATCCTGGTAAGGCTTGTATCCCTCTCTTGGTGTGGCCACAATTGGCAGAGTAGCATTTTTCTTGCTGGTTATTGTTGGTCAGGGACAGGAAATCGGGTCAAGAGTGTTGCAGTTTACAATGCTAGGAAATAGCCTGAGGTGAACTTTATTGCCACTAAATTGCTATTGCAAAATAACCTTTTTAGCCCTTTTGACAAGGAGGGAGCTGCCGCTCCATGGGTGGAGCATGGGTGGGGCAGCTGCCCCTAATCAATAAAAATACATAGCAAACTGAGGTTCTGCCCCCCCCAAAAAAAATTCCTGGCTACGCCCGTGCCGCTCCCCTTTTTGCAAATGCTGCTCCTCAAGTCAAGATGGATTTCTGCTTTTGATCTTCTTTTTCTTTTCAGTATTGGTTTCTGCTCTCTAGTGTTTGTTTCTATTTTTAGCTTTTCTAGCTCTGGGAATTTTCCTTGAAAGACAAAAAATGGGCCTCCCGGTTACGCATGCAAGGACACCACATAGCAGGAAACCTATTTGGTTATGGATTAAATTGGTTAGTCACTTTATCTTGCCCAAGGCAGCAAAAAAATGACATAACATTATTGCAGAGGTGTTAAGGAGCTGGAAATTTAGAAGCCATTGAGCAAAACACTATTTTTTACTGTTTTTTTTTCTTGGGGAGTGGATGGGTGGAATTGGAATGTTTTTGGGGAAATGAAGAGGTACGTAAAGGTGAACATAACTCTAAACCTGATAATTTTTTACTTAACCTTTAACATATTGTTGCAACTGTTACGTTATAGTAGTACTCTACCAAAAGTAACACATTTTCTCTAAAATTAAAGCTGTAGAAGTAATTAGTAGCATTGATATCAAAGGTTCCCTAAAAATTTCACTACTTAACAATGAAAAAAAAGCAGATTCAGTGTCACAAATATTCAAATTACACTGTTTACCTTCCCGCCAGAGCGGTACCTATTTATCTACTTTCACTTTGACGTGCTTTCAAACTGCTAGGTTGGCAGGAGCAGGGACCAAACAACGGGAGCTCACCCTGTCACGGGGATTCGAACCACCAACCTTCTGATCGGCAAGTCCTAGGCTCAGTGGTTTAACCCACAGCGCCACCCACGTCCTGCCCTGGCTGTATCTATGTGTAAATAAACCGTATATCATAAAAGGCACCACAATCTCCGCTGTGCCTCATTTCCAAAAGTAAACATGGACCTTGGATGAGGGTCTGGAACCCCTGGAATCAATTGGAGTAGCATCATTCAACAGTATATTTTATTTTTTTCTAACCTGAAGGTGCCGTCAGAAGGGAATTGATCTCTTCTGCCTGGGCACTTGGTACTGGACAGCAATGAGAGAGGCGAAATGATAAGCCATGATGATGATGCTGTAGAGAGACACAGCCTGGGAGCGCCTGAAGAGACAGAAGCTGCCCTAAGGGGAAAAGGTGTTTCCCAATCCATAAGAAAGGCAGGTAAGTTGAAAAAGCTGCAGAGCCTCCTTGTCAGCTGGTTGTGGTGTGTGGATGTATGGATGCAAGCAAGCGTGTAGCCTGCAAGGCAGCTATATTTTCCCCTGGGAAATAGGGCAGGGATGGGGAGCCTCTTGCCCTCCAGATGTTGCTGGACTAAAGGTAAAGGGACCCCTGATCATTAGGTCCAGTCGTGGCCGACCTGGGGTTGTGGCGCTCATCTCACTTTATTGGCTGAGGGAGCCGGCGTACAGCTTCCGGGTCATGTGGCCAGCATGACTAAGCCGCTTCTGGCGAACCAGAGCAGCGCACGGAAACGCCGTTTACCTTCCCGCCGGAGCGGTACCTATTTATCTACTTGCACTTTGATGTGCTTTCGAACTGCTAGGTCGGCAGGAGCAGGGACCGAGCAACAGGAGCTCACCCCATCGCGGAGATTCGAACCCCGACCTTCTGATTGGCAAGTCCTAGGCTCAGTGGTTTAGACCACAGCGCCACCTGCATCCCTAAAACTAAAAGCCCCACTATTCCTGCCCCTGTTGGTTATGCAGTCTGGGGCTGATGGGAGTTGGAGGCCCCCAACATCTGGAGGGCCAGCAGTTCCCCATGCCTAGTTTATAAACCTGTTGGCGTTTGGCTTACATTGTGTGTGTGTGTGTGTGTGTGTGTGTGTGTGTGTGTGTGTCTGTCTGTCTGTCTGTCTGTCTCTGTGTGTGTCTGCCTTTCTCCCCTTCCAGTTCCCAAATACATTTTCCTTCAAGTTCTCGCCTGTGTAAGTTAAAAGAAAATATTAAGCGGTAAGATTGTGATGTTTGCCAATGCTACTTCACAAAACCTGCAGCGTGTGGAGTCTGTACAGGAGCTAGTCTTGTTCTCTGTAGAGTATCTGCTGATGCAAATGGATAAATTCCTGCACCTCTTAACTCTTGCTCAATCACCCGGTCCTTTTTTGCGATAGATGTACCGTATATGCATACGTGGGACACTAACTTCTGCCAAGTCAGACCCCTGGTCCACCTGACTCAGTGGCAAGCAGTAGCCCTGCAGGGTTTAGGGCAGGAGTCTCTCCCAGCAATAGCTGCAGATGTCAGGATTTGAAACAGGGAACTCTTTGTATGCAGATAATTGCCAAAGGGTTGTCATATGCCTGGGTTTCCCCAGACATTTAAAACTGGTTCTGAAATTTCCAGCCAGAAGCAATTTTCAAAGGCCAAACACTGGCAATGTTTGGAAATTTCCAAACATATGGCAGCCTGTTTGTGTGTAATGTTGATATGCTGCATTAATCAGTCTGGAATATCTGACATATGCATCTTCCTGATTTCTAATCAATGATCACGCCCTCTAAAACTAGATGGTTGTCTCTTTTCAGTTCATAGAGAGCCAGTGTGGTGTAGTGGTTAGGAGCGGTAGTCTCGTAATCTGGGGAACCGGGTTCGCGTCTCCGCTCCTCCACCTGCAGCTGCTGGGTGACCTTGGGCCAGTCACACTTCTCTGAAGTCTCTCAGCCCCACTCACCTCACAGAGTGTTTGTTGTGGGGGAGGAAGGGAAAGGAGAATGTTAGCCGCTTTGAGACTCCTTAAAGGGAGTGAAAGGAGGGATATCAAATCCAAACTCCTCCTCCTCCTCCTCCTCTTCTTCTTCTTCTTCTTCTTCTTCTTCATTGCTGAAAAATTATACACTGCTTGATTGAAAAAAAAACCTCTAAGCAATGAGAACAGTTAAAAACAAGTAGTAAAAACATGTAATTTCTTTTTAAGTGTATTAATTGTTTTTAAATGTTTTCATTGGTAATGTGACTTTCTTGTAAGCTGCTTAGAGGTTTTGTACATTGTCCTTGGAGGTCTGTCTGAGCAAGAGTCATGTGGAAATTGCTGCAAGCGGCACACTGGCGTTGTTTTCTGCAGAGCTCTGGCCACATTCTTGAAAATCCTATTGGGATTTGTTTAACTGAACTGAGCCTGTTTTTCAGATGTATTTATATACAGCTGCTGGAATGTATAAACTTGAGGTATACGAGCCCTGCAAAAATCTTGGCCAAAAGATTGCCTCAATCTCTCTGCTTTGGAGCAAAACCTAATTTTGAAATCCAGTATCTTTTGCATCAGTAGCTGAGAATTAGCATATAAATATATACAGCATGTTAAAGGCCTTCCTTGTTTCATGTCCCTCTCCCAGGCACCCCAGATTCCAATTTTGCTTTTGCTTTTTGCAACACTATTTCCAGGAGTTAATACAGGCACCGGGCCACTCATTTGCATCTTTGCATTTCATTAGCTTTTCTGAAGTGGGAAAAAACCCTCCCACAATGATAGTATTCAGAGAGCCTTTTAAAAAGTTACTGGGAACCAGGCAGAGGGCCCTCTTGGTAGTGGTGCTCGCCCTGTGAAATACCCTTCCACCAGAAATCAAGGAAATAAACACCTATCTGACTTTTAGAAGACATCTGAAGGCAGCCCTATTTAGGGAAGTTTTTTTATGTTTGATGTTTTGCTGTGTTTTTAATATTCTGTTGCGAACCGCCCCGAGTGACGGGCAACCCAGTCAGATAGGCGGCATATAGATAATAAAATTAATAACAGTAACAACAACTATTATTATTAATTTGCATCTTGGGACTTATCTATGCTTTCTCTTGTCCAGCTGCTTCCCCCTGGGTAAAACTGCTCTTTAGCGTTCAATCAGAGCAAATGGCAATTCAAACACTTTGGTTTCAAGCAGCTTAGAAACACAGAGGGGTGCCTGTAGAATAGTGAGATTAAAAGTCCCCTTGACTCCTTTGCTGGGCTTGGAATAGGTTGCTTTTGTTTCCTCCATGCCCAGCATAGAAACAGAAGCAGTTGCCCATCTGGCAGTCATGGTAGTTTCTGTGCTGGGCCCCTCCCCGTCTTCCTCCCCCATGCCTAGTGCAGACGTGGTTAAGGGAGAGAGGAAGCCACCTGCCCCCATGCCAGCAGCTCACAGCTCATTTACCTGTACACAGTTCCCCTTTCCCCATAGCAACCAGATAAGTGGTTAAACAGAAGGCGGTTTTTATTATAGCTAAGCCTTTTGGTTACAAAGGATAATGAAGATTTGAATAAACTGCTACAGCATGACGACCAGAAAAGCAATTGGCAATGGCAGGGGAGTCCACATAAGCACAAAATGTCATCTTTGGCTACTGCAGCGTCTGGGAAGCTTTGGCTCTGCTTACTATTCAAGTTCAGTTTCTTTCTTTTTTTATAAATATTTTTTATTGCTCAATTTCCACATAACAAATTATCAAACCATATAATCACCTACATAATTTTCCCCCTTTATTTCCCCCCACTCCCCCCCCAAGGACTTCCCTCAGCTCCTCTCCCTGATTTCACTGCACATATTTACTGCACATTTACTGATTTCACTGCACATATTCACTGCACACTGCCAGTGTGGTGTAGTGGTTAAGAGCGGTAGTCACGTAATCTGGGGAACCGGGTTCGCTTCCCCGCTCCTCCACATGCAGCTGCTGGGTGACCTTGGGCCAGTCACACTTCTCTGAAGTCTCTCAGCCCCACTCACCTCACAGCGTGTTTGTTGTGGGGGAGGAAGGGAAAGGAGAATGTTAGCCGCTTTGAGACTCCTGAAGGGGAGTGAAAGGCGGGATATCAAATCCAAACTCTTCTTCTTCTTCTTCTCTACATATTATAAAATTGTATATATCCTTACATCATCATCATTGTATATATCTGTCCATCATGTTATCAACAATATGTGTATGTTTATTCAAAACCTGCCAAGGAGTCCAGTTCATTTTGTTGTCTTTTAAAATAATTTGTAAAAAGTTCCCATTCTTCTTTAAAGTCACTGTTTCCTTATCTTGCAGTTTATGTGTCAATTTAGCCAGTTCTGCATAGTTCATCAATTTTTCTTGCCACTGTTCTTTTGTCGGGGTTTCCTCATTCTTCCATCCTTGTACTATCAAGACTCTTGCTGCTGTTGTAGCATACATAAATAAATTCCTTATTTTCCTTAGCAGGTCTTGTCCCACAATCCCTAACAAAAATGCTTCTGTTTTTTTTTAAAAACATTTTCTTCAATTCATTATATATCATTTCCCAATTTTTTTTAATTTCTGCCCCTCCTGCCTCAGATAAACTGAAAAGGATTGAAGGTGAGTCACGTTTCAAAGGCTGGGGAGATGTCTTCTGCATATCCTCAGATAATTGAAGATGCATATCAGTTCTGTAGATGGTCTGTGAGACCAGTTGAATTCTTCAGCTATAGGTAAAAGATTGCTCTTTCTGAGTAAATGTCTTATTTTGGCAAGGGTCTATCCCTATTTGCCTTCTTGCTATTCCTAGTAGTGATCAGTTCTTGCCCCCAAGGATGAACCGCAGAATCACCTGCCCAGTTTAACATCCGCTTTGTGGATGAGCTGGATGGGGCCATCTGTGAGGTGAGGCCTCCAAGTCTTCCTGTGGGGAGGGGGAGCGGCTGTCACTCATATTTCAGTAATAATCTGACTGCCTGGGTGTCCAAAGGCTGCTGGCTAATGTGTTCCAGCCCCAAATTAAAAGAATTCTTTGAGAATAATTTAGATAAAGGTACAGAAATACGTATGGTGTGGGAGGCAAGTAAAGCATATATAAGAGGTTACTTTATACAACATAACTCGTGACTTAAAAAAGAGAGACAGGAGAAAATACAAAATGATTCTGTGTGAAATTAGACAAAAAGAAAAAGAGCTGGGAAAATCTCCAACAAATACAAATATTACCTGGCATATTAAGATGCTGCAGAGACAGCTGTGCTAGCAACGCAGGAGATAGAAGCAAAATTGAAATATATTCCTGAATGCCAAAATAAATAGATATTGCAATAATATCAAGAGTTCTGGTATTAGCAACCCAGTTCATCATGGAAGTTTTAGTTTATTGTATGTGTGTTGATGTGGCTACATGTGAAACACGCCTTGTAGGTGAGATTTGTGTTCTTCTTCCTTAGTAATGGTAAATCAAGACCATTATTTGTGTGTGTTAATTTCATTTCAGGGGATCACCATAATTATCAGGGTAGAGGAATCACATCTAAGTGTACCATCTTATTTGCATTCATTATTATCATCCTCTTCCTCATCACCATCATTGCTCTTGCTGTCCAGAGAGGTGAGTTTTCTGCCTCTTTTCTTAGTGCTTTCTTCCAGGTCTGTCGCAGTCATGACCTCTGACTTCCATCAGCACTTTCGCTTCTAATAGCCAGTTTACACTTAGCAGCAGCAGTTAGGAAAACAGTTGCCTTTGACTGAATCACTATTATCCATGCTCTTGCCAATGGCTCTCTGGGACTTTGGAGGTGATATTTCCCAGCCCTACCTAAAGATGCAAAAAATTGAACCTGAGACTGTCAGCATGCAGAGCAGATACAGTGGTACCTCGCAAGACGAATGCCTCGCAAGACAAAAAACTCGCTAGACGAAAGGTTTTTCCGTTTTCGATTTGCCTCGCAAGACGAATTCCTCTATGGGCTTGCTTCGCAAGATGAAAACGTCTCGCGACTTTGTTTCCTTTGTCTAAAAATCGTTAAAACCAAGGGTGCTTAGCTTGAACTGCTGCAGTTGCGCCTTGACTTCGAGGAGCAACTGTTAGCACGTGGTTTTGCAGCCTTTTCTCAGACTTTGCTCACTTTTGAAGCTTTTCCAAAACTTTTCCAGAACTTCTCTTTCATCCATTTGGTAAGTTAAACTTTTAAAACTTTTTTGGGGGGTTTTGGATTTTGGGTTGGGGTGTTTGGGATTCAAGGACTTGGTGTTGTGGGGGGGTTTGCGATAATCTGTGGGCTTGTGGGCCTTTTTTGGGAATTTTTATGATTTTCTGTGACCATTGGGCAAGGGTGTTTTTTTTGAAAATTTTTCTGAGTTTGAATTTCTGAGTGCCGGCTGGCTGGGGGAACAGTAGGGGAGGTTTCTGCAGGAATCTGGGACCATTTGGGGTTTTTTTTGGAATTTTTATGATTTTCTGTGACCACTGGGCAAGGTTGTTTATTTTTGAAAAATTTTTATGAGTTTGAATTTCTGAGTGCTGGCTGGCTGGGGGAACAGTTGGGGAGGTTTCTGCAGGAATCTGGGACCATTTGGGTTTTTTTTTGGAATTTTTATGATTTTCTGTGACCACTGGGCATGGTTGTTTATTTTCATTTTTTTTTTCTGAGTTTGAATTTCTGAGTGCTGGCTGGCTGGGGGAACAGTTGGGGAGGTTTCTGCAGGAATCTGGGACCATTTGGGGGTTTTTTGGAATTTTTATGATTTTCTGTGACCACTAGGCATGGTTGTTTATTTTCAAATTTTTTTTTCTGAGTTTGAATTTCTGAGTGCTGGCTGGCTCAGGGAACAGTTGGGGAGGTTTCTGCAGGAATCTGGGACCATTTGGGGTTTTTTGGAATTTTTATGATTTTTTGTGACCACTAGGCATGGTTGTTTATTTTCAAAAAATTTTTCTGAGTTTGAATTTCTGAGTGCTGGCTGGCTGGGGGAACAGTTGGGGAGGTTTCTGCAGGAATCTGGGACCATTTGGGGTTTTTTTTGGAATTTTTATGATTTTCTGTGACCACTAGGCATCGTTGTTTATTTTTGAAAATTTTTATGAGTTTGAATTTCTGAGTGCTGGCCATGTTGTTATTTTTTGAATTTTTTTTTTGTCTGGGTGGGGAAACAGTTGGGGAGGGGTTTGCAGCAGTTGGGAAGGGGCTGGGGGAGCAGTTGGGGAGGGGTTTGCAGCAGTTGGGGAGGGGCTGGGGGAGCAGTTGGGGAGGGGTTTGCAATTTCTGTGTTGTGGGTGGGTGGGTGTCTGTGGGAGCAGTTGAGGTTTTTGAAGACATTGGTGATTTTTGAAGCTTTTCCAAAACTTATTTTGCAGCCACTTGAGGTTTCTGAGGACTTCGGTGATTGGTTGTTGAAGCTGTTCCAGAACTTCTCTTTCATCCATTTGGTAAGCTAAACTTTTAAAACTTTTTGGGGGGTTTTTGGATTTTGGATTTTGGGTTGGGGTGCTTGGGATTCAAGGCCTTGGTTCTGGGTTTTAATTTCTGTGTGGTGGGTGGCTGGGTGCTTTTGTATTTTTGGGGTTTGAAGCACATCACTGATTTTTTTTTCTTTTTCTGAGTTTACGAAGGTAAGAGCTGTGCTGCCATGGGACCCAAGAAGACTGCTGCTGCGGTGGCCGGCGAGAGGAAGAAGGAGAAGGTGACGCTGGAAATGAAGGAGATCATCCGGAAGCACGACGGCGGAATGCGTGTGACGGACATCGCCAGGGAGTACGGGAGGAACCCATCGACCATCGGCACCATCCTGAAGATGAGGGAGAAGATCTTGGCGACTGATGCAGCCAAGGGAGTCACCAGGATCGTGAAGAACTGCCCAGCTGTTCTGGAGGAGGTCAAGAAGTTGCTGCTCATCTGGATAGAAGAGAAGCAGCGTGCAGGGGACACAGTGCCTGAGGCCGTCATTTGTGAGAAGGCCAAGGCCTTGCACGCAGACCTCGTCCGGGAACAGCCAGGAACCTCAGCCGAGCCAGAAGACTTCAAGGCAAGCAGAGGTTGGTTTGAACGGTTCAAGACAAGATCTAGCATCCACAGCGTGGTCAGGCATGGAGAGGCTGCCAGTTCTGATGTTCCTGCGGCTGAAGACTTTGCATTGGAGTTCCTGGAGGTTGTGAAGATGGAGGGCTACGTTCCACAGCAGGTCTTCAACTGCGATGAGACCGGGCTGTTTTGGAAGAGGATGCCCAAAAGGACTTTCATCACTCAGGAGGAGTCCAAGTTGCCTGGCCACAAGCCCATGAAGGACCGTCTGACCCTGCTCTTCTGTGCCAACGCAAGCGGCGACCTGAAGATCAAGCCCCTGCTGGTGTACCACTCGGAGAACCCACGGGCCTTCAAGAGACACAAGATCAACAAGGAGCGGCTGAGTGTCATGTGGCGATCCAACAGCAAGGCTTGGGTCACACGTGTGCTGTTTGTGGACTGGGTCAATCTTGCTTTTGGCCCTGCTGTCAAGCAGTACCTGCTGGACAACGACCTGCCGCTGAAGGCTTTGCTTCTGATGGACAATGCTCCTGCCCATCCTAAAGGCCTTGAGGTGGACTTGTTGGAGGAGTTCAGCTTCATCAACATCATGTTCCTGCCGCCTAACACCACGCCACTGCTCTAGCCGATGGATCAGCAGGTCATCGCCAATTTCAAAAAACTCTACACCAAGGAGCTTTTCAGGCGATGCTTCGAGGTGACTGACTGCACCACCATCACCCTGCGGGAATTCTGGAAGGACCACTTCGACATCGTCACCTGCTTGAAGATGGTCACCACGGCCTGGAAAGGGATCAGCCAGAGAAATTTGAATTGCGCTTGGCGCAGCCTGTGGCCGGACTGTGTGGCACCAAGTGACTCTGATGCACCAGAGTCAACAGTGGTGCAGGACATTGTTGCCTTGGGGAGGACCATGGGCCTGGAGGTCACGGAGGAGGACGTCTGCGAGCTGGTGGAGGGGCACGACGACGAGCTGACCACCGTGGAGCTGGTCGAACTGCAGGCAGAGGCTGCGCAGGAGCAGGCCTCACTGGAAGAGGAGGAAGCAACTGAGGAACGGCTGTCCTCCGAAAGACTGAGGGACATTTGCCTGAAGTGGAAGGAGGTGCAGACTTTTGCAGATCTACACCACCCTGAGAAGCACGTGGCACATGACGCTGGGAACTTTTATGATACGAGGGTCATGTCGCCTTTCAGGGAGCTGCTGAAAAGGCGGATGAAGCAGCAGACTATGGACAGGTTCTTGACCAAGAAGCAAAGAGTGGAAGAGGAGCCTTCTTCGAGTGGTCCCCCAGAGTCTTAGAAAATGTACTGTGCACTTTGTTGATTTTTAAATGTTTTTCTGTCATGTTTATAAAGTTAATTTATTTTCCCTTCAATTTTTGAACTGCTCTTTACAGTATGTGTGACTTTAAAGAGCAGTTAATAAACTGTTGTTGTACCAAATTTGGCTTTGTTTGGACTTTTTTTGACCATAGGAACGCATTAATTGATTTTCAATGCATTCCTATGGGATTTCGTGATTCGCAAGACGAAAAATTCGCTAGACGACAAAACTTGCGGAACGAATTAATTTCGTCTTGCGAGGCACCACTGTACTCTGCCACTGAGCAACAAAGCTCCCCCAAGTTGTGTGATTCTTCTACTGCTACTTCCCTTTCCTCCCTCCAAGAAGCATCTGAATCTAGGGGCTACAATTGCTGCTTATTGATTCCTTCTTTGCCCTCCCTCCTAGCCAGAGGCTGAAATGTTATGTGCAGATCCCAGTTCAGAGCAGAACTTTCTCTCTCTTGCAGGGGGGAAATCCAACCAGACTTGCCCTGATGGGAATAACTGTGCTGTTTTGGGACCAGCGTGCCCAGCTGGCTGGGTTGGCTATGAAGGGAAGTGTTACTTTTTCTCAGAAGAAGAAAGAAACTGGACTTCTGCCCAGAGCTTTTGCATTTCCCAGGGCTCTTCTCTGGCTGTGATTCAGAGTGAGCTGGAAATGGTGAGACCAACAAATGTATAAAGGTTTGTGAGAATTACCGTATTTTTTGCACCATAACACTCACTTTTTTCCTCCTAGAAAGTAAGGGGAAATGTCTGTGCGTGTTAATGGAGGGAATGCCTACAGGTGGGGGGGGGATCTGCTACAGTCGTGAGCAGAGGATCCATGGTTCCCCTTCCTTCCCTCCTCTGTGGTTACAAAGCATGGATCCACATGGATCCTCAGGATTTTTGCATTGGGCTACTCCAAACTCACTGTCAGATCACATGTCTGTGGCCACAGCATGAACCACAAAAATCATATATCCACTATTTCGTTTAGAATATTTTTTATTGTTTTCCTCCTCTAAAAACTATGTGCGTGTTATGGTCTGGTGCGTGTTATAGAGCGAAAAATACGGTATCTTCTGCACAACACCAAGGATGAGCTATCCTTATGGAAATATAAAGAGAATCTGGGACATAACTTGGCTTTGTCATAGCTTGATGCAAACAAGAATAATAAAAGCATTCTCCAGGAGCACCTTAGAGACCAACTAAGTTTGTTCTTGGTATAAGCTTTCGTGTGCATGCACACTTCTTCAGTTATGCACACGAACGCTTATACAGTGGTACCTCGGGTTACAGATGCTTCAGGTTACATACGCTTCAGGTTACAGACCCCACTAACCCAGAAATATTACCTCGGGTTAAGAACTTTGCTTCAGGATGAAAACAGAAATCGTGCTCCAGCGGCACAGCGGCAGCAGGAGCCCCCATTAGCTAAAGTGGTGCTTCAGGTTAAGAACGGACCTCCAGAATGAATTAAGTACTTAACCCAAGGTACCACTGTACCAAGAACAAACTCAGTTGGTCTCTAAGGTGCTACTGGACAATTTATTTTCATTATTTTTATTTCGACTGCATCAGACCAACACGGCTACCAACCTGAATCTTGATGTAAACAAATTATCCATCTTGCAGCCATAATGGGAATTATAGATCAACAAAATCTCAAGGGCCGCAAGTGCCCTATACTCTTCCTTCAGCCACTTTCCTATCTTCCTTGAACCTCCTTCCTCCCTTTTCAGCAAAGCTTTCCTTCTGCTATTTAAGCCTCACTTTCTTTGCATCTCCTGTCTCACTGCCCAGGTCTCTGTCAGAAGTTCGTTCTCCTCCCACAATTGGCATTATTTGAGGTAGCAGGCTCATTTGGAGGCATTGCTCTAATCTGTTTGTGTGTTTTCGACCAAGGTGTTCATGCTCCGGTTCAAGGGCGAAGCTGACCATTGGATTGGCCTCCGGAAGGACTTCAATGGTACCTGGATATGGGCAGATGGGTCAGAATACTGTAACACGTGAGTCCTTGCTCTTCTCTTGAATTGGGATTAAGCAGGAGGCATGCTGGGTACAGTGAGTTGATCCCAAATCTGAATCTGTAACCAAAAATCACTCCAGAATGTGAACTTCAAGGAATCAGAATTGCACTCAAAGCATAAACCTCTCAGTAACCTTCCTGATATGTTGCGGTTTCTCACCTCTCACCAGACACACAGAAACCATCCACACTGCTGACAAGCTTCAGCTAAGGCTCTTGAGCTACCTCTGCTGTGGAGAAAGAGGATGGGGGTGATGATGATGATGATGATGATGATGATGATTATACCCCACCCGTCTGGCATGGTTTCCCTATCCAATCTGGGTGGCTCTCTACAGAATATTAAAACATCAAACATTAAAAACTTCCCAAACAGGGCTGCCTTCAGATGTCTTCTAAGAGTCAGATAGTTTTTTATTTATTTGACATCTGATGGGAGGGCAATTCACATGGCGGACACCACTACCGAGAAGGCCCTCTGCCTGGTTCCCTGCCACCTCACTTCTCGCAGCGAGGGAACCACCAGAAGGCCCTTGGCGCTGGACCTCAGTGTCCAGACTGAACGCTGGGCATGGAGACGCTCCTGCAAGGAAAAATCCTTGTTCTCTCACTCTCATAATTCTTAAGGTCAATCAATTAAGCTGAAAGGTGGGGGATTTACAAACTATGGAATTGTCATATAACCAAAGATCAAAACCACATAGGGTGGAGCTTATCTGTGGATCAGATCTCTCCATAATGTTAAAGGTGGTTTCATTAGGGAGGCAGATTTATGAGTATAATCAAGAAACATAAGCCATGTACTCTCACACTTTCTTAATCTGCTATCTAACAATCCTGCTATGCTCCCTTACCGGCCTGCCAGTCATGCAATGTAAGCAAGCTATGCAACAAAAGCCCCAAATCAATGGATTCGAGTTACAACAAAGGAGATTCCAACTAAATCTCAGGAACAACTTTCTGATAGTAAGAGCTGTCGGACAATCAAACCTTGGGAGGTTGTGGACTCTCCTTTATTGGAGGTTTTTAAAGAGAGGTTGGATGGCCACCAGTCAAGGGATTTTCAGCTGTGATGAACACAATGCGGCTTGCTAATGGATTCTTGGCTACGTAGTTTACGACACTGTCCCACCCGTACAAGACAGAGCAGCCAACCTGGCTTGCCCATCTCACCTTTCCTCCTCGTGTTGCAGGTTGGTGGTGAAAGGAAGTGAATACTGTACATATCTAAGCAAGGAGTTTGTCATTGCCTCCCGTTGCCACATACCAATAAAGTGGATCTGCAATCACCCTGATGCGTATATGAGGAATGTAAACTCTACAGCAGGAAAAGTCATATGCCAAGAGGAATTCTGGTAAGTCCCAGGGATGTAAGAAATCAGCAATTTCCATTCTGGCCCATTTTAATCACAATCAGCACTATTTCCATTCCGTTGCAATTTGATTTTTTTCTAATCTACAATATTAACCTCACTGTCTACTATTTAACATTGTTTGTGCAACTTGCATTCATTTCTGTGTAAAGGAAGCATCAAAACAATGTAAGACAGTATTTAATGACATACCATTTGTGGACATCAAGAAGGCAACAACAATCAGGTGAACAAATACCGATTGTATTCACTTGATTCTCTGACCACAGAGCTGCCACCATTTCTGCTTGCTTTTCTGTTTTTGTCACAATTCTCTGACATGCTTAGGTAAGCCTTTCCATTGTATGACCTAGATACTGTTTCTAGAAGGAAAGGCAGCAAATTGTATGTATGGAAACATATTTACACCAAAGCTGGTGTGTGACAGGAGACTACAGATAGGACTGCTCAACTCTGACGCTTGTTCACAGCTTCATACAAAACCTCAAATGATCTGAAATAGGCTTCAGTGCCTGCACACTTTCAACCTGATCTTTGCACAACATCAGCTAGAAACTTGTCTTACTTTATAATGAATCTTGAAATCTGTCACCAAAAAAATCATAAGCAGAGGCATTGGTCTTCTACATTGAACCTAGCCATTTGCTAACTAAGTTGAAAGGGCACAAGTTGATGATTCGTGGATTTATACCGTTCTGCCAGAAATCCATCAATTGTTTCTTCTATTTCAGATTGTTATTAGAGTCCCGAATAGGACCACATTTCCTTGGAAAGAACCCTGAGGACACGAGTCAATATCTGTGCAGCTTGTGTAAATTTCAGTTTGGTGTTATTCAAGGCTTTTAAAAATGTATTTATTTATGTATCATAATTTTTTTGAAAATTAGCAAAATTGATTCTTTTTGTAAAAGATCTTTTAAAAAGTTATGTAAATGCCTTCTTATTTTTATTTTTAATTTTTATCTGCCTTTTTTTATACAAAAACAAAAGAAAAATAACCTATCCCACATCCCCTTCCCTCCATCCCTCAGTCGTACGACTTTGATATCAATCTCAACATACAAATAAATGTCTGATAGCTTCCCTTGCACCCTTTTCTTCGTTTCTTTACCTTTCTGCTAAATAGTGTATTCCAAATTTTTAATCTTCAACGTTCCTTTTTTGTTAAATGCTGTTAATTCTGTTGATTTCTATTCTGCTGGATTTACTCAAGACCTGCTGGGTTATTTACTTGTTGTTGTTTAGTCATTTTGTCGTCTCCGACTCTTCGTGACCCCATGGACCACAGCACTGCCAGGCACTTGTTACTTATTTATACTGGTTCTTAAAATATTCAATAAACGTTTTCCAATCCTCCTTATATTCTTTGTCATTTTTTCTCCCTTGCCCTGTTCTTTATGCCTGCCAATTCAGCATATTCAAGCATTTTAAACTGCCACTCTTCCTTGGTGGGTACCATACTCATTCTCCACCTTTGTGCCAATCAGATTCTAGCCGCGGTGGTGGCATATAATAATAAATTATTTTGTTTCTTAGGGACTTCTGTTGTTACCATTCCCAAAAGGAACACATTTTGGGAAGGTTATTTTGATATATCTTTTAAAATTCATTATAATTTCCCAGAATTCCCAGATTCCTTTGCAGGACCACCACATGTGGAAAAAGGATCCCTCTACTTCATTGCATTTCCAACCTTTACCGTTTTCTTTTTAAAACATTTTCGCTAGTTTGGCAGGTGTTAAATATCAGCTGTGGCTCACTTTCACCATACAGTGGTACCTCGGGTTACATACGCTTCAGGTTTTATACGCTTCAGGTTACAGACTCCGCTAACCTAGAAATAGTGCTTCAGGTTAAGAGCTTTGCTTCAGGATGAGAACAGAAATCGGGCTCCGGCAGTGTGGCAGCAGCAGGAGGCCCCATTAGCTAAAGTGGTGCTTCAGGTTAAGAACAGTTTCCGGTTAAGTACGGACCTCCGGAATGAATTAAGTACTTAACCCGAGGTACCACTGTATTTTCCCGCAATGCACAACATGTCGTGAATTTACTATCCATAAATATCATATTTACTATCCATAAATTCTCCCCCAGACAGTGCACTGATGGGGGTGCAAATCATCACTTCATTTGTTAGATTAGTAATTCCCTGACTTTATGCACAGACATTAATTAGCAGGTGGTGGTGCTTTTTTCCCATGTCCTGCAAAGTTTGCATGTTCATTTTTGCAGATCAACCTTCAAAAAGAGCTCCCCTGGCAATCTCCGCCTTGGGGGAGTGGGGAGGGCAGATTATAAATGTGTGTGGGGGGGAATGGTTTAAAACTCTATTAGAAGCTTGCTGGTTTTTTGAATAGGGCCTTTTATATTAGCACAAAGTTATGTTTTTGTCTTTTGTTGAAAACCATATGTTTTATACAATCTAGTGTCCAACCCCCAACATTGCAGTAATCAGTCTCCTCGCTCTCGGCAGTGCCAAATTAGTGTCATTTGTGTCTCTCGCTTGCTTGTTTGCAGTCTTTATGTAGGGCTGCTATACGTCAGGATTTTCAACTGACACTCGTAGGTTTGTTTTTTTAAAAAAAAATAATCACAATTTTTGGGGCGTTTTTGTAAAAATATGTTCCAACAACTTCGGGGTTTGTTGAGCTCAACTTCTGGTGTGTCCTTGTTTTTACTTACTGAAATAGGGCAAGCCTACTTTATGCCTTGATACTGTTATGATTTCCATTTTAAATTCTGTGCTCCACTTTTTATGCTGGTTTATTGTTTAGTTGTACTGCATTTTTTACTTCTAGTTGTTACTGTCAAGTTTTTACTGGCGATTGTAAGCTGCTTAATGGAAGAAGTTCCTCAAAAAGTATACATCCCCCTCCCCAAGCTCTGGATTTTTTTTGGGGGGGGGGTGACTGCAAAACCAGACTCTCTTTCATGCAGTATGGTCAAATTTTACCTTGAGGTTAGATTACTACATTGTGTTCATATGTAGGGCTGCATCTGAACACGGTTTGGAAACTTTATCGAGTGCAGAATTCAACAGCCAGTTTGCTCACTGGGGCAAGACAGTTTATAACAATAACAATAATAATAATTTATTCTTTATACCCCGCCCATCTGGCTGAGTTTCCCCAGCCACTCTGGGCAGCTCCCAATCGAGTGTTAAAAACAATACAGCATTAAATATTAAAAAACAACAACAGTGTTTCATTCAGATGTCTTTTAAAGATAGGATAGCTGCTTACTTTTAAAGATAGGATAGCCACATCTGAAGGGAGTTTGAGCACGTTACACTGATTCTGGTCTGACTGCACTGACTGCCAATAAGTTTCTGGGCCCAATTCAAAGTGCTGGTTTTGACCCATAAAGCCTTAAACAGCCCAGGACCGCAATACCTCAAGGACCACCTCTTTCCATATGAACTTACCCGGACCCTGAGATCATATTCTAAGGTCCTTCTTTGTGTGCCTCCCTCTTGGTCCAGAGGAAGGCAACACGCAAACAGGCTTTTTCTGCCGTGGTTTCCTTTTGTGGAATGCTCTCCCAAGGGAGGTTTGCCTGGTGCCTTTATTATACATCTTAAGTGCCAGGCAAAAGCATTCCTCTTTAGTCAGCACCCCTGTTCCTGAAATAGTTACTCCTTGGTGACGAGGGGTGCACCAGTTTATAGTTCACCACAGGTGCCAAAATGTCTTGGGCCTGCCCTGCAACAAACTATCAATTCTTATTTTTTCCTCTCCTTTTCCTCTTTTTCTTTCTTAAAGTGGATGGGATAATTACTTTTTCTGGCGCGTGTCTAATGCAACATATTTTTGCTTTGGTTATAGCAGGCAAGAAATACGTCTCTAGTTTGCATATGCTTGACAATGCATGGGAGCAGAACAGTGTTGGAGGCAACACGGGGTGTGTTCACAGTATACACTTCCTTCCCCTCTGCCGGAGAATGCAAAGAGCATGCTGCAGCTACTGCTGCCACTGTAGCAGAGGCAGAGGCCAAGGCATTCATTGGAGGCCGAATCTGATGCAACCTCAGTAGTCCCCTCACTGCTCCCCCCCAACCTGTGGATCCTTCCACCTGAAGCCTCATGCTCCCATCAGTCCCAGCCAGCACCATGGTCAGCAATGAGGGGAGCTGGAGTCTGGCAACATCCGCATCATAGAATCATAGAAGCATTGCATTGTAGAGTTGGAAGGGACCCCAGGGGTCATCTAGTCCAACCCCCTGCAAGGAAGGAATCTTTTGCCCAAAGTGGGGCGCAAACCCATGACCCCGATATTAAGTGCCTCGCGCTCTACTGGGTGTGCTATCCCAGGACCACTGGTTCCCCACCTCCCTCTGTAAAGGGCAGTGTTCACTCATGGGGCTTATGCAAGCAGAACAGACAGACAAGTCCTGCAATCCCACAGCCATCCCAGCCTTGTCTGTCGATTTTACACAATAATAATCAAAAAATCGTAGAATTGGAAGGGAGCCTGAGGATCATCTAGTCCAACCCCCTGCAATGAAGGACTATGCAGCTGCCCCATACGGGAATCCAGCCTGGAGCCTCGGCGGTATTAGCACCATGCTCTAACCAAATGAGTAGTAGTAGGAGTAGTAGTAACAACCACCCATCTGACTGGCTTGCCCCAACCAGTCTTCCAACAAATTTAAACACAGGAAAACATCACACATTTTAAACATCCCTCTACAGGGCTGCCTTCAGATACCTTCTAAAAGTTTATTATTTCCTTGGCATCTAATGGAAGGGCCTTGCACTTCTACCGAGAAGGTCTTCTGCGTGGTGTTTGAAGGGCACATAAGAAGCAAAGGGGAGGGACGCCTTGTCTTGCATGAGGGCTGAAGCGGAGTTGTGGCTGGGGCAATTCTGAGAAGTTGTCTGAAAGAGAGTGGGGAGGGGGGGGGGAGAGGGGAGTGGCTACTGAGTTTCCTCTCCGAGCGTAGAGAAGAAGCCGAGGCTTGACTTTCCGAGCGACTGCTTCTCTTTCGCGTTGAGGCTGAGAATTTGGCAGCGCCTCGCAGGACAGGACAGCGCAGGACGGGAGCAGCGGGAAATTATGCGCCAAGTTCTTCCCAGAGCCTTGGAGCTGGCAAAGACCCCGAAAAAAGCTGGTCAGGATGGAAGGGGGGGAGATCGAAGGGCCAATCCTCGCCCTCTCCCCACCCCCCCAGCTCCAGAGAAGAGAGAAGTGAGAGTAATGTAGCCAGTCGTCTTCGCAAATTGGGGCAGCCAACAGGCAACGAGACTGGAACGAACGGATGGAGGTAGGTCGTGGGAAGCTTTTGTGGATCCACAGGGGCTAACATAAAGAGCAGGTATCTAGGTGTGGTTCATGGGCATAACAAAGGGGGGAGGCGGGGAGGGACAGCTGAGGCTCCCCCGCACCACAAAAGACCTAACGCGCTCCAACAAAAATCTTGGCTACGCCCAAGGTGTGGTTGGAATTGGCACCGATTGTGGGTTTAGGAACGAGGAGACCACAGAAGAAAGGATGCTAAGGGATTGATTGGGGAAAGGGAAGCTGGAGGAAGCCAGAAGGAGAAGGAGACAGAGGCAAGGCTAGGGAGAGAAGCAAAAAGGACAGGAGACAAATGTAGGAGGAGACATAAATAAGGAAGGGAGGTTCTCTTGTGGAGCACTGGGGCCATTTGAAGTTCAGTATGTCTCCACTATAACCCTCGCTGCAGCAGGCACCATTTTACAACCTCATTTATTTGTAAAATCGGCCTTATGGGCAGGACCTGACAAGAAGGAAGTGGAGAAGGTTAGGGTAGAGAAAGGTGGTGGAGAGTTTTAAAGGTAGGGGTGAAGAGTTTGCTATGGGTGCTGAAAGATGCGAAATGACAGCACAAGATACAGAGGAGAGTTTGGCTTGGCAACGGGGTGGCAAAAATTATGTGGATTATATTCAGGTAGGTAGCCGTGTTGGTCTGACGCAGTAGAAATAAAAAAAATTGTCCAGTAGCACCTTAGAGACCAACTAAGTTTGTTCTTGGTGCGAGCTGAAGAGGTGTGCATGCACACGAAAGCGAGTGACACTGTGGTCTAAACCACAGAGCCTAGGGCTTGCCGATCAGAAGGCTGGCAGTTCGAATCCCCATGACCGGGTGAGCTCCCGTTGCTCAGTCCCTGCTCCTGCCAACCTAGCAGTTCGAAGGCACACCAGTGCAAGTAGATAAATAGGTACCGTTGTGGCGGGAAGGTAAACGGCATTTCAGTGTGCTCTGGTTTCCATCAAGGTGCCCTGTTGCTCCAAAAGTGGTTTAGTCATGTTGGCCACATGCCCCAGAAAATTGTCTGTGGACAAACACTGAGGAAAGTTACATGTGCTGTTGAGGAATAAAGCATCCTGATGGATGCTTAGGACTTGTTGGAGCTGAAGTCCAACAACTGAAGGACCACAGGTCCCACATCCCTGGCCAGAAGTCTCACTCTCTTGTGGGCTTTGCTTCAACTGGATCCCTGTTGGCTAGACTTTTCTCATAAGTTGCATATTTACCATCTCCTGCTGGTCCCGAATCACAATCAAGGTGGAGTTCTTTCCTTTGCAGTCATCTTGGCTCTCGGTCCAGGTTTTTTGCCCTTGAGAGATCCAGTAGCAGGTGTTCCTGTGCAGTTCCCAGTCATTGGGGCATATTTTGCAGTTTGGGGCATCCTCTGGTGGTAGAGAGGGAAACCAAGAGGCAGAATATTTCCATGCAAAAATGGATGCTCTTATTTCCCCCCTCATGGGAGAATCTGAGAATTTATTGCATATTACAAAATGTCTCATTGCAAAGGGGAGCTTTATTTATTTCAGTAAATAAACTTCCCAGGAGTTTTGAGTAACATGTAGAATCCCAAGTGGTCTCATATGCTAGTTAAGCATTTTGAGAGGAAACTACATGGGAACCTGACTTCATGCTGCCTTTGTAATGCTGCAAGGCTGCATGAGGAGGAAATGTACCTGGGACCACCGCCCCTCTGGCCCTCCCCACGCAATGCCACTGCTGATGAACTCAGCGTGTGAAGAGGCTAAGCTGGTTGCTCTAGCCAGGCTGCATGACACTCACAAGCCAATCTTGTGCTCCTATACCAAAAATTTATGAACTTTCACCTCTTTAGAACTAAACTGTTTACTGCCTGTGTAACTTTTCTGAGTGATGTATGGAAAAGAACATGAACTTGACCTTTGAAGAGTTTGTAAGTAAATCATTTTTAAAGTACTAAATGTGGGATCTTTCCCTATGCTGAGGGAAGATGGTACTTTTTTTGGAACGCAATTGGAAAGACATATTTTAAAGGTCTAACAGTCTATATTTCCACACTTTACTTTGCCCCAAACTTGGATCTTGGAATCCAGGAATTTCTATATAATATCATGTTTTGCTTGCATCAACAGTTTCAACATGCCTCAGTTCCAGTTCTTCATCTGGCTATCCTGGTCCTTCTCAGGGTTTGCAGGTTAATGAAGCCTGCAAGGTTCTTTTCATTACAGAGATAGGAAAAGACATTTGTGAACCACAGCATAATCACTTAGGCTGAGAATTAATTTGAGCAGCCCTTCTAGGGGGAGGAGCAAGTCAATACATCTGAATTCTGTGTCATTTTAAAAGTAAAACTTTTAAATGGTGTTTTAGTAGTAAATCTGATTCGGATGATGGAAGTGGCTGACATCCAGACAGTGTTTCTGGTACACATACACAAAGCATGAGTCATTCATGAGTGGCTGAGGTTACCTGTTCCGCTCTGGCTTGGAGAGCTGCACATATAGCGTTTCAGCTGTAGCTTAAATTCAGAGTCAGTGGCGCTGGTGATGCTGGTGGTGTCCTCTGGTCTTTCTTTAGGCTGCAAAACTAAATACATTTTATAGTGTTGCATTTGTTCCTGAATATCAGCTCAAGTTTTAAAAGATGCTATGGGCAACTGTTGGAATACAGTCTGTTTTTGTTGCACAGGAAAAGAAACATAGCCATTTTGTTTTGTTACATAGCCAAATGTAATTCAGGAAGGATACATATATTTGGCACCCTGTAACCTGTCATCAAATTATGAAGAATCCTGCTGCTCACATTGACTGGGGCTAAACAAGCAGGGTATCAAAGAGTTTTAAATAGGAATATTAAATAATGTTCATTATTTTAATTAAAATACAGAGGTGGAAAATAGGGCTAACCATTAGGGTTGCAAAATAAGAAATACAATTCCCCACAGTTTATTCAGAGCACAGAACTGGGGCTTATTTGATGCATAATTTATCTTTTCTCAAATAAATAAATATTTTTTTGAAATGCCCACACTATTTTTTATTCACCAGCTGCTAAGGTGCCTTTGACAAAAAGCAGAGTAACAGAAGCCTTCCAGGATGACTCCAGGATGGCCAACTTTTACTGGACTGTGCCAGGAAACGTTATCTGTATTCACACTCTCAGGCTGCAATCCTATTCCCACGTGGGAGCAAACGCTGCTAAGTTCAACGGGGCTTGACTTGCACAGGATTGCAAATACGGTATTCTTGGGGAAACCAACATTAAGCATGCAGTTACTCACCCAAAACTTTCAGCCTTACTACAGCCAGAGTGAGGAGGAAAATCACAGCGCAGGCAGTTCCAAGAGCAACGCGAAGGCCCTGTGTATACTTATGGTCATCTGTAAGGATTAAAAGTTGATAAAAGAACTATGCTTTATGGTGTAAAGAGATTGCAATTGATGCTGGTGTGACATTATGAATTATGTGTTCTACTGCCTGCACAAACAACCCTGTTCTATATTAAGTCGAGGTTTTTTTTTTGGGGGGGGGGTTACACTCAAAGTGTTTTATTTAAATATGACATTCTCAATGCAAGATTCAGTAGCTACAGACCAGTTTTAATTGACACAAGCTTTTGTACAGTTCCAAAGGAGATCCAAAAGAGATCTCTCATTTTTTTTAAAAAAGGCTAGCAATTCAGCTAATATGGATAGAAGATCAACTTAAATCAAATCTATTACTTATTTATACAGTGCATAACTAAAATATTGAATGCAGTAGACAAACACAAATTATAAAGGATAATGGATCAAACCTAAGATTCTTAGTACACAATTCTGTTTGCAATTATGAAAACCTAATTCTCTCTGAATCGAAGCTATGACATTCTGCCGTAGTATTTTTTTACTTATTGGGTTTTATAAACAAGAATAATGTTATACAAATAAGTATACCAAGTCTTCTCATGTCATTTGTATATCACACAAAAAAACATAATAAATGTGGGAAAATATCTACAACATACGTTTCATTATTAGTGGTCAATATATAAGCTCTTGGTTCATGAATTGGTTTCCCATCACTGCCATACTCTCTCCACTGTCTCACCAGTCTCACCAGATATGTTAGCTTCACCCAAAGCAGGGCAGTTTATACAATATTGCCTGCCCTCAGAGACTGGTCAATCTGGTGGATTTCCAGATTGCTCTGGGTGATTTCCCAGCTGATCTGTCTGGCACTGCAAAAACACTGGCCTGGACAGCTGACACAATCACTCCTGACTTCCTCTCCTGCTTAGCAGCCCCACACTTATGCCCAGAGCTTATTGCAATGATGCAAGTTGCCAGGTGATTAGGATGCAGGTGGAGGAAGACTTCTAATGTCTCAAACCGAACACCGATACTCGCTGGTAATTGACACATTATACCTGGGGCTAGTTTTGAAAACATCAGAACTATATGCATGTTCAGAACATGGCTGCAAAGTTCTTGACTGGGACCAATCAACAGGAACATATGAAGGAGTGACCGCTAGGTGTGTAGCACACTTCCACCTGCAGACAAGCCACAACTGTCTGAACATGTGACCTTCAGGTGTGGAGCACACTTCCACCCACAGACAAAGTCACAGCTGTCTGAACATCATGCCCTCTATCTAACTTTTGCTCTCTTAGTGGTCTGCCGTGCCCTGTCTGTGACCTTTGTCTCCTTTGCTATACATTGTTCAAGGGGAAAATGACGCGGTGGAAACAGGTGCCAAAATAACTTTGTACCACTCCACGATCTCGTGATTGGAAGATGTAAAGGGCACAGTCCAAAATTTATCTGACTGGTTTTGCATATTGTGCTAATAAAAAGAGCCTCGGAAGAGCTAGCTGGCAGCTTGCTTATGCACAGCTCACCTGCATTACCAACTCCTGCCTCATGTCCTTCACTTCAACAAACTTCAAGTTATTAATTTCAAGTTAATTAATTTTACAATGAATGGTTTTAGAGTGTTGTTTATGCTGTACTTTTGTACTGTTTTGTTGTTGTTAGCCGCCCTGAGCCCGGCTTCGGCTGGGGAGGGCGGGATATAAATAAAATGTATTATTATTATTATTATTATTATTATTATTATTATCCCCCTGAAGATTTCATTTCTACTGTTCACTCATGATTATTTATGCTCCTGATGCCCCTCATAAAGAATCCGACTTTCAATTTTGTTTGTTCCTGCAGAGGGTGGGTGGGGTTTTTTTTGCTGGCAATACTGTTTCATTTCCAATCTGTTCCTATCCTGTGCCTTCCTGCTGAAATTCCATATTTTTCATGTCACAGAAGTTCTGGTGTGTGTGTGTGTGTGTGTGTGTGTGAGAGAGAGAGAGAGAGAGAGAGAATTTGTATGTGTGTGCCCTGCTTTTGTTGCACTCCAGGCAGCAATAATGTGGTAGCATTGGGGAAACATTACAAAAAAAGCAGAATAAATCCACCACAGATGCATTATTCTTGTGTCAATAACATGTTGCTGAATACATCCACAGTTAAATACCTGCCTGGAGGGGTCCTCAAGCTTTTTTACAGGTATGTGGGCTTATCCACACCCACCTGTCCTCCTGCTTTCCAGGCACATTTTCACACTTTAAAGCTCCATGTCTGAGCGCTCTTTTATTGCCCTGGAGCTTCCCCACAAAAAACCCCCTATTTAAACTAAAACACAACAAACATCAACTTGGTTTTTCTGTGGGTTGCTGTTCGTACCGATTGAGCTTTAAAGAGCAGGTTTTCATGGGGAAATCTCCAGGGCAAAAGAAGGAACACGGAGCTTTAAAGTGTGAAAGTCCTAACGAAAGAAGAATGGATACAAAAACTTATGGAATACACAGAAATGGCGAAACTTACCAGAAATATAAGAAATCAAGATAACAAACATTTTTAATAAAATAATGGAAAAGGTTTATTGAATAATTTCAAACTGTAAACAGATAAGAACACTGGCAGGATTATTATAATAACCTGCAGTTCAATAAGAGTATACTTTTAAAGTAGATGAATAAATGATTACGTTAATTTAGAATATGCAGAAAATATAAAAAATAAATTTAAGGATCCACAGAAAGAGGGGAAGGAAGGTGAATTTCAAAATGTTAAAATGATTGTAAAATTATTGAAAGGTATACAATTGAAAATCTTTTTTTTATTTATTTAAAAAATGAACGTGATCCTTCTGCAGGCAAAGCCTTTATTCCATCACTGAGCCCATTCTGTAATATGTGAAGGAAAATAATACTGTAATATGTGAAGGAAAATAATACGTGAGGGCTAGCCGGCGAAAAGAGGGCGAGCCCCCTCTGCGTCGGCCCTAAATAGGGCAGGTCACGGCCGGGATTCCCCTGCTCTCGCGGGGGCTGAAACAGCCCCCGCTCACGTGGGGGGGTGGGCGTGAAGCCCGCAACCCCACCTCCTGGGCAGGCCGGAAGTGGCTTTCCATTTGCCTCTCCTGCTTCCAATTATTTTTATTAGGCGACTTCAAGGTTGGAGAATTATGCAAAGGAGAGGAAGAGACAAACCCCTTTCTAGTCTCTCCATACTGTTCATGTTTTGTAAACCTCTAGCATGTCTACCCTGTGTAGTTTAAGTTTAATTTTCTAAAATAAAAGAAGGATGCATCGGGCTGAAGACTATCCAGGCAACTACATTGGGCAGCAAGGATTTAGCAGAGACCCACAAGACACACCTGAGGACCTCAGATTCTGCAACCCGCCTGCAGATTAATTACCCTACACAAAATAAAAATACATGACTAAGTGAGCCACTTACTGCAGTTCCTGCCAGGACGAGGCATCGGTATCCTTGAACAGGAAGGCATTTCCTGAATGTTTAGGTCCGCACATACTATTTCCCCAGCCATGACACATGCAGAGAAAGCTGAACGTGAACTAAAGGAAGGAAGCTGAGCTACAGCAACAGGAGCTGCTGAGGTGAATGTTCAGCTCCAAGCCACAGCGACTAGCACGCTCAGCAACACAGGGTCCAAGTGGTCTCTGTCAAAGTTTTTTTTTTTTTAGACTTCCTTTTCTCATAAGAATCATTGGTTGAGACCAATGCATTCCAGTGAGTGCATCTCTGTTTAAATTATAGCTGCACCAGCGTCCTTGACCACCCCCTCCACCTGATTCTACAGTTGCTTCTCTGCCAGAAACTGCACTTGCTGGCATCCTGTGACCCCTTTAGGTTTGGGGACTGGGGATTTGGCACCTGGTATTCTTGAGGACTAGTAACCCACTTTTATTTGATTAACCTTGTGCCTTTTAACTGATTGATTCAATCTACAATACATTTGTTCATTGTTTTATAGGTGTCTTTTGAGATAATGCATTTTCGAGTTAAATATTGACACCCAGTCTTAGAATGGAACACCTTTCGTTGCTGGGACTTAGCAGTAGCAACATTGCTTCAGAAGGTCTTCCCTGAGGAATATAAGAAAAGCTCTCTGATCAATGGTCTCTCAAGATCAGGGTCAATGAGACAATGAATTTTGTTTGAGTTAAAACTTAGGTAAAATCCAATTGGGAAGCCCATTTATTGATAGTCTCTATATACTACAGTGGTACCTCAGGTTACATAGGCTTCAGGTTACATACGCTTCAGGTTACAGAAATAGTGTTTCAGGTTAAGAACTTTGCTTCAGGATGAGAACAGAAATTGTGCCGCGGCAGCAGGAGGCCCCATTAGCTAAAGTGGTGCTTCAGGTTAAGAACAGTTTCAGGTTAAGAACGGACCTCCGGAACGAATTAAGTATTTAACCCGAGGTACCACTGTATCTCTATGTGGCTATAGACCAGCAGTACTGTTCGCAGCGGAACAAGGTACCCGGCTTTGCCAGTTGGAAAAATATAGCTACGTATGAAGCACAAATTCAGCACCCAGCAGCATAGTAGGAGGACAGGTGCACCTATTAAATCAGTACAGCACCTAAGAAGAGCCCTGCTGGACCAAAACAAAGACCTATCTCCTCCAGCATCCTGTTCCTCAGAGCGACTGAGCTGTGGGAAGCTGTGATCTACTTCTGGGGAAAGGGCACAACAACAGAGACTTGTCCATGCTTTCCACAGGTCACACCTGGCCAAAAAGGTATCAGCTCACATTTGGTCTGCTGTACATGTCTGGCTTCACCCCTAGGCCAGATTCCTGTCAGCAGCCCTCTTCTTCCAAGGTGGCCCCTTCAGAATGTCCGTTTTCCGGTCCTGTCTCCTCAGGGGTGAATTCCAAATCTTAGGAACAAGTAGAGCTTCCTAGAATCACCCCAGGGATCCAGAAAAGGCTTTTACCAAAGAGGGCAGAGATATTTTGCTTCAGGGCCTTTAACAGAAGCAGGTTTACCTCCAGGATTCATTTGTCTCCCCAGTGAACAGGGTACTAAGTAAACATAGACTGCTGGAGAAGCCTTCCTAGGTACACAGCCTGTTCCCTGCATCTCCCCATGGCACCTCTTCCATCTCTCTGAGGCTTCTTACACCCTTTCTTTCTCTTCCACCCTTCATTTTGCCTGAGTTACAGCAGCTGGACTCCTCCCCTACCATCAGGCATGTGACTGAGACTGCCCAATCCTTCTTTTCCATAGGTTGGGCCGGATTAACACCTTAGAGGCCCTAAGCACTTTAAAGATTGGGGTGCCCCATATGTATCTAACCCAAAATAGTGAAACGAGTAAGATGTAAAATTATATTATATTTTTCAAAATGAAACAAAGCTTACAGCAAGATGGAAAACCATGATCATTTTTGTATACTTCCACTTTATTTATATTTGATCTTTTTTCTCCTTTTTTTCTAATTGCAGTGTCTTTGATCAGATCTAAAACTAAGAATACAGCATTAATATCAATCACAATTTAAAATGACATCCATTAAAAATAAAAGCAATTTTAAACAAAAACAAAAATGGAGCCCTCTCTGCCCAGCAGCACTCCTTTATGGAGCCTGTCAGGCCCCACCCCAAGCCAGGTGGAGAGAAGCACGTCAGTCCCTGCAGACTAATCCAGCCCTGGGTTGGACCTTCATGAAACATCCACAGGAGGCCTCTTCAGGACCCATTGCCTGGCTGGTGTGGACTGGGGCCTACTTAAAGTGCCAAGTGCTGGCAAGGGACCAGGGAACCCTGTGAGCCCATCACAGAAGCTGGCAGCCATGGATGAGCCATGCATTCCATATTAAAGTAACAATTTCTGGCAGAATACAGATGGCAGAAATGATGGCACTAGTGGACACTTCGTCTGGCTATGAGGAGCCACTGGACAATGCCAGGTGAAATGAAAGGAGTCGGATAATATTTTGCCCAGGATCCCCAACTGTGCCGCACAATAATGTATGCCAGAAACATGAGAGCTGCCAGTCTGGGTCAGTATAATGTACTCTTGAGTCTCCAGCCAGATGTCCCTAATAAAAACCAAGTTGTACACCAGGCTCTGAATGGGATGGTCCAGTCCCTAGTTGCCTTGTTAATAGCTGTCAATATGCCTGTGCTCTTTGAACCAAGGACAGTCCATTTTGAAAGCCACCTATGCTTGTGGCCATTGTAACATCCTATAGCAATGATCACATGACAATTTCCTGTGGTAAGCCACCAGAGCAGAGTTGCACATTTGTCTTGTATTGAGCCTGCACCAAGTCAATTTTTGTGTAGGTGGTCATCTTCACAACTCTAATAATCTGAAATAGAAGAAAAATTTGATGGATTTCTGGCAGAATGGCATAAATCCATGAATCATCAGCTTGTGCCCTCTCCACTTAGTTAGCAAATGGCTAGGTTCAATGTAGAAGCCCAATGTCCCTGCTTATGATTTTCCATTCTCTTCTTGGTGACAGATTTCAAGATTCCGTATAAAGACAAGTTTCTAGCCGATGTTGTACAAAGACCAGGTTGAAAGTGTGTAGGCATTGAAACCTAGTTCAGATCATTTGAGGTTTTGTATGAAGCTGTGAACAAGCGTCAGAGTTGAGCACTCCTATCTGTAGTCTCCTGTCACACACCAGCTTTGGTGTAAAATTGTTTCCATACATACATACATTTGCTGCCTTTCCTTCTAGAAACAGTATCTAGGTCATACAATGGAAAGGCTTACCTAAGCATGTCAGAGAATTGTGACAAAAACAGAAAAGTAAGCAGAAATGGTAGCAGCTCTGTGGTCAGAGAATCAAGTGAATACAATCGGTATTTGTTCACCTGATTGTTGTTTCCTTCTTGATGTCCACAAATGGTATGTCATTAAATACTTTCTTACATTGTTTTGATGCTTCCTTTACACAGAAATAAATGCAAGTTGCACAAACGATGTTAAATAGTAGACAGTGAGGTTAATATTGTAGATTAGAAAAAAATCAAATTGCAGCGGAATGGAAATAGTGCTGATTGTGATTAAAATGGGCCAGAATGGAAATTTCTTACATCCCTGGGACTTACCATAATTCCTCTTGGCATATGACTTTTCCTGCTGTAGAGTTTTTGTTCCTCATATACGCATCAGGGTGACTGCAGATCCACTTTTTTGGTATGTTGCAATGGGAGGGAATGACAAACTTCTTGCTTAGATAGGCACAGTTTTCGCTTCCTTTCACCACCAACCTGCAACACAAGAAGAAAAGGTGAGATGGGCATGCCAGGTTTGTCGCTCCGTTTTGCATGGGTGGGACAGTGTCATAAACTATGTAGCCAAGAATCAGATCCATTAGAAATGGGAGCTTAGTTCCAGATCCTTTCATAACTTTCCATATCAGAAACTTATGGTGTAAGCCTCTAGCCATGTCTACTCAAAAGCAAGTCCCATTATGCTCATCACAGCTAAAGAACCCTTGGCAGGTGGCCATCCAACCTCTATTTGAAAACCTCCGATAAAGGAGAGTCCAGAACATCCCAAGGGAGTCTGACTGTCAAACACCTCTTACTGTCAGAAAGTTCTTCCTGAGATTTAGTCCAAATCTCCTTTCTTATAACTTGAATCCATTGATTTGGGGCCTGTGTAAGCATGGCTTGCTTACATTGCATGACTGGCTTACAGGTCTGGGCGAAAGCGTTATTGGAGATTAGCCCAGCATTGTTAGATAGCAGATTAAGAAAGTTTAAGAGTACCTGGTTTATGTTTCTTGATCATGCTCATAAATCTGCCTCCCTAATGAAACCACCTGTTACATTATGGAGAGATCTGATCCACGGATAAACTTCACCCTGTGTGCTTTTGTACTTTGTTTGTATGACACATGATCTGTACTTGATATTTTGTATTGTTTCCTTTCTCTTCACTGTTTACCCAGAAATCAATACAATACTTATGCTTTTACTAGAACCTTCCCCAATGATTGTTCCACAGCAACTTGTATTCAAGGCTACGCTGCCTCAGTTCCTGGAGGCAGCATATGCCTCATCATCAGGGTCCATCAACAGCCTTGTTCTCCATGGGTCTGTCTAATTCCCTGCTAAAGCTGTCCATCTTGTGAGAGTCGATTCCATAGTTTGTAATGTGTGAAGAAACACATTACTGCATCCTGAATCTCCTACCTTTCAGCTTAATTGATTGACCTTAAGTCTTATGAGAGTGGGAAGACAAGGACCTTCTCCACACCAGAGGAGCTCAAGAGCATTAGCTGGAGTTTGTCGGCAGTGTGGATGGTTTCTGTGTGTATGGTCAGAGGTGAGAAACCCCGACATATCAGGAAGGTTACTGAGAGGTTTATGCTTTGGGTGCAATCCTGATTCCTTGAAGTTCACATTCTGGAGTGATTTTTGGTTACAGATTCAGGTTTGGGATCAACTCACTGTACACAGCATGGTCCCTGCTTAGTCCCAATTTGGAAAAGAACAAGGACTCACGTGTTACTGTATTCTGACCCATCTGCCCATATCCAGGTATCATTGAAGTCCTTCTGAAGGCCAATCCAATGGTCAGCTTCGCCCTTGAACCGGAACATGAACACCTTGGTTTAAAACACACAAACAGCTTAGAGCAGTGCCTCCAAATGAGTCTTCCACCTCAAATAATGCCACTTGTGGGAGAACAAGAACTTCCAACAGAGACCTGGGCAGTGAGACTGGAGAAAGAGAGGCTTAGATAGCAGAAGGAAGGAGTTCAAGAAGGATGGGAAAGTGGTTGAAGGAAGAGTATATAGCAGGGATGGGGAACTTGCTGGGAAATTGATCTACAATCCCTATTATCCTTGATCATAATGGCTGTAAGATGGATAATTTGTTTGCATCAAGCTATGACAAAGCCACGTTACCTCACAGATTCTCTTTGTATTTCCATAAGGATAGCTCTTCCATAGTGCTGTGCAGGAGATAATTCTCACAAACATTTATACATTTCTTGGTCTCACCTTTTCATGCTCACACTGAATCTCAGCCAGAGAAGAGCCCTGGGATATGCAAAAGCTCTGGGCAGATGTCCAGTTTTTTTCTTCTTCTGAGAAAAAGTAACACTTTCCTTCATAGACAATCCAGCCAGCTGGGCATGTTGCTCTCAAAAAAACATCAGGGCAAGTCTGGTTGGATTTCCCCCCTGCAAGAGAGAGAATGTTCTGCTGTGTACTGGGATCTGCACATAACATTTCAACCTCCGGCTTGGAGGGAGGGCAAAGAAAGAACCAATAAGCAGCTCTTGTGGCTCCTGGATTCAAATGCTTCTTGGAGAGAGGAAAGGGAAGTAGCAGTAGAGGAATCACACAACTTGGGGGAGCTTTGTTGCTCAGTGGCAGAGCATCTGCTTTGCATGCTGACGGTCTCGGGTTTAATCTCCGGCATCTTCAGGTAGGGCTGGGAAAGATCCCCTCCAAAGTCCCAGAGAGCCATTGGCAAGAGCATGGATAATTCAGCCAAAGGCAGCTGTTTTCCTAACTGCTGTTGCTAAATGTGAACTGGCCATTAGAAGCCAAAGTGCTGGTGGCAGACAGAGGTCATGACTGGGACAGACCTGGAAGAAAGCACTAAGAAAACAGGCAGAAAACTCACCTCTCTGGACAGCAAGAACAAGGATGGTGGTGAGAAAGAGGGGAATGAGCATAATTTCGACGACGATGATGATGGATGCAATTAAGATGATACGCTTAGGCGTGATTCTTTTACAGCGATAATTAGGGTGACCCCCTGAAAGGAAATTAGCACACACAAATAATGGTCTTGATTTACCATTGCTAGGGAAGAAATAATAATAATAATACAAATCTCACCTATAAGGGGTGTTTCACATCTAGCCACATCACAACACACACACACACACACACACACACACACACACACTCTCACACAATTAAAACCACCATGGAGAACTGGGTTGCTAATACCATAACTTTGTTGTTATAATTGCAATATCTATTTCTTTTTGACATTCAGGAGTTTGGGGTTGGTATATTTCAATTTTGTTACCATAGCTAATGGTCTCTGCAGCATCTTAATTTGCCAGGTAATATTTGTATTTGTTGGCAATTATTCCAGCTCTTTTTCTTTTTGTTTAAATTCACACAGAATCCTTTTTGTGTTTCTCCTGTCTCTCTTTTTAAAGTAAAGAGTTATGTTGTATAAAGTAACCTCTTATATAATATGCTTTACTTGCATCCCATACCATACATATTTCTGTACCTTTATCTAAATTATTCTCAAAATTCTTTTTCTTAATTTAGGGTTGGAACACATTAGCCAGCAGCCTTTTGACACCCAGACAGTCAGATTCTTACTGAGATATGAGTGACAGCCCTCCCCCCCCCATCCCCACAGCAAGGCTTGGAGGCCTCACCTCACAGACAGCCCCATCCAGCTCATCCACACAGCTGTTAAACTGGGCAGGCGATTTTGGGGGTCATCCTTTGGGGGCAAGAACTGATCGCTACTAGGAATAGTTAGAGGGCAAACAGGGATAGACACCTACCAAGATAAGACATTTGATCAGAAAGAGCAATCTTTTACCTATAGCTGAAGAATTCAACTGTTCGCAGAGCAGACATCTAGCATTACTCCCTGCCCCCCTTGTAATTGATGAAAATAAACCAGAGGTAACAAAGAAGGAGAAAACGTATACTTTGATCTTTAAAAGTATACATTTTCTCCTTCTTTGCCACCTCTGGTTTATTTTTTATGCTAGACTGTGTATTTTGATAGGTTTTCATAGTTTGCCAAATCCTGCCCAGCCTATGTAGCCATAGGTGATGATGAGGATGGGCCTGCCAATAGCAAAGAGCAGATGGGTGTTCAAGGCTTAGGGAGTGGGCAGTTCTGGGTTTCTGCATCGTTCTCCTGCCATAGGCTCCCTCCATAGGCATGAGCAATGCAAGCAGATCATCAAAGACAGCTTTGCCTAAGGAGGCAAACTTACCTGCAGCATCTCCAGTCCCTTCCTTTGGTTTACTGTGAGGACCTCCCCACTGTCCTTCTTGCTTTTCAACAAGGCCAGGTGGTGTTGGAATTGTGCCTGCCAAAAGCAACAAGCAGATGGGTGTTCAAGGCTTAGGGAGTGGGCAGTTCTGGGTTTCTGCATCGTTCTTCCGCCGTAGGCTCCCTCCATAGGCATGAGCAAGGCAAGCAGATCATAGGCAGTTCTAAGATGCCCAAGTACTCCTGAGAGGTGTAGGACCTCAAGCCTACTTACAAGGTGTGCACTCCTTCCTGCAAGGTTCTAGTTCTAGGTTCCTCTTCTTGTAAGCACCTGGTATCATGTTTTTAATATTCTGTTGGGAGCTGCCCAGAGAGGTTGGGGAAACCCAGCCAGATGGGAGGGGTATTATTATTATTATTATTATTATTATTATTATTATTATTATTAAACATCACCATCACAACAGCTACAGGTGATTTTTCATTAATACCCACTTTGCTTCATTTGGTAACAAAGACTCCATGCAAGTTATTTGTTTCATTTTAAAATGGCCCATGTTCATTTTCAGCCACGCAGCCGTGAATATGGCCCATTGTCACCCTTGGCTACAAAGGCTGGGCAGGATTTTGCAAACTACCAAAACCTGCTTGCAAAATGGAATGACATGACTGCACATTCTGCAAAAAGAGATCCTTTAGAGCTCGCTCTTTAACCCCCCCCAACAAACTACAATCTGTCTCAAGTCTCCTTCTTGATACTTTTCATGCATCAGAATTAACTTGCTTACCAGATTTTTCTCTCATGTCCGAATGTTCAAAATTGTAACAAGCTCCATTCTGTTGAGGTAAAAACACAACTTGTTCTGCTCTGTTTACAGGTTTCTCGTAGGTATTGGCATGTTCCACCATTTTTGGCTCCCCTTCCAGCAGATCCTTCATCCTTCAGAAAGATAATAGAAAACCTTATTTACAGGCAAATCAACCCTTTCTTGCAGAAGACCAGATGCCTTTATGAGAAACAAGAGGGAGGTATCAAATACTGAGGTTTGCAGAAGTACAAATATTTAAGTGAAGCGGACAGCCCCCTAAAAAATAATAATAATAATCCATTGAGGTCTGAGCATGCTCAGTAGCCGTGGGGAAGGAAAAGGTGGGGAATCTTTCCCCCTCAAATTTCCTTCTGTGTCACATTCCACAGAGCTAGAAGCAAAGGGCAGCAGGGCAGCTACTGTAATTTTTACCTTTGTACATAAGCTGTACATCTATAGAAGTTTATAAAATTATGCATGACACGAAGAAAGCGTAAAGAGAAAAGCTTTTCTCCCACTCTTGTTAGAACACTAAAATCAGTGGGTATCCAACGAAGCTGAATGTTGGAAGATTTTGTGCGGGGTACAAAGAATAAAATTAAAATTAAAGTTTGCTTTCTGAGGGTGGCTGCACTCAGGAAAAGAACAGTTAGGCAAGGGAAAGCAGGGCACATAATTCAGCTACTGGGTGGGCAAAGAGAAAGGATTGCCATAAAGGAGAAGGGAGGCAGGGAGGAGCCAAAGGAAGGAGCAGCCCAGCCAGGCACCAGTTGGAGCGGGTCGGAGGTTTATTTTATTTTATTTTCAGTTTTGAACAGGAGCCTGGAAATCCAAATTCATGCTAAAAGAAAAATAAAATAAAAAGTGAGATGCCCACAGTTATAGACCAGCCTCATCAGGATGACGCCCTGAAAATCTGGACTCAAATAGCCTTCAATTCACAGTAGAATCTGGTGTGCACAAACTCTTGGTTTACAAAGTGCACGCTCCGATCAAAGGGCCTACTAGTTAAGCAGGTGCAATAAAATAAAGCTATCTGGCTATAACTTCTGTTATTCACAGAGTGACCGCTGTCAGAGAAGGAGCTGCGCCTATTATAGCTCTCCTATTTAAGTTGATGGAGGAAAGGAAGAGCTTTAAATGGGTGGGCGCTAAACCAAGCATACGTATCTGGGATTGAGGCATCTGATCATAGCCTGCATTGAATCAAGGCTTATATTTTGATCAGATTCCTGATTTTGAATTGATTTTCCTGTATTCTAAAAATTAGCTTAAATTCACAAATGTTTCTTTCGAGGCAGGAAACCAGCAGGCAGCTGGCAAGCTCTTGGGCAGAGGGCTTTATTGCGGTCATAAAAGGCTGAGAGCCATTGGCCTTTTCCACTCTGAGCCTGCATGCACGCATTTCTGTACCCGTGCACGCACACCTTTAATTAAAAATGAACAGAAAACGTGCCCAAGAACAATCACTACAAAACAGCGGTGCCAACTTGAATAAACTATTTTTGCGTGGAAGGGGGCAGGTAATCAATCACGTGATGCGGCACACACCCACTATTTGAATGGCAATGCCTATCGACTTTGGGGGGCCCTGGCCCCCTCTCAAATGGGGGGCGGTTCTGCCTCCCTGTAATTTGGCTACTACAGTACATTATTAGAGCCAACGCGGGAGCTTCTGAACATGTGTTGCTGGGAACAGGGCTGCTAAAAGGCGGGGTGTGTGTGAAAAAAGAACTTTTTTTGCCCTCCAACGCCACCTGATGTTGCACATTTATAATTCATACAAAGCTCTGTTTTTTGACTGATTGTAGCTGAGTCCAAAGAAGATGGTAACCATGTAAGACTATACTCAAGTCAAGTTACAAAACTCGGGAAGAGATGAAGACTATGGGTTCAAGTTAGGGAAAGCTTCACCGATGAGGGGGGGTGGAGGTAGGGGGTGTTAATATAAATGTTCTGGGAGGGGGTGATGAACATTAGGTGGCAGATATTCCTGCTAAAGGAAGCCTTGTAAAACCCAGTGACATCCACAGCCAGGTTTTCACACCCTCAGATACAGATCACTTCCCAAAAGCCCCTGGCCCCATTTTTTCTTCCAGTTTCAAGTCTCACTTGCTGCTTCTTTGCAGAACTGGAAAGGGGAAGCGAGAAAACCATCTGCTTAGACTGAGTGACTAAGAGGTGTCTGTTGCTGTAATCTTTGATCGGATGCATGAAGTCGTTACACCAAGTTACGTGCAAATGCACAAGAGGGGAGAGGAAGACTGTAAGTAGCATAGCCAGAAAGAAATGAAATGTTGTGAAGCGCAAGCAGTGAGAATTACATTAACAGTGCCCATTCACACATGCAATATTATTGATAACGCAACTATCCTTGTTCAGCAGAGGAGCGTAATTTAATTCAATGAACTTCTGCAAATTTGCTGAAAGACACCTAAATACTTCCACAGAATTATTCACAGACTCTTCAGTCCCTAACAGGTCTGGTTCTCCCGGTGAGTTTACATGGCGATACTGGTCATGGATTCTTGCCATGGCTGGGGCAGCCTCTATACACACACATGTACACGAGTCCCCCCCCCCCCCAATCT